TTTTCAAATTCTAAGTTTGATAAGTCACTGGTGGCATCAAATAATTGTTCCTCTTCTGAACTTTCATTTACTAAAGTATCAGTATCACATTCATGTTGAACAGTACTTTCCTGTTGCTGCAGGTTAGTAAGCGGCATAATGACACAATTGTTTTTAACTGTGTGTTCCAAGAAGACAACATCTCTGCTCTTAAATATGCGTTTTTTATCTTCATCATAAAATCTGTAACCTTTAGTATAATCGCAATAGCCAACAAATATCATTTTAACTGATTTTGAATCCCACTTTTGTCGATTTTCCTTTGGTACATGAACCATAGCTTGACAGCCAAATATTTTCATATTTTTTAGGTTAGGTTTTTTACCTGTCCACATTTCATATGGTGTCTTGTAATCCAAAGCTTTTGTTGGGCAACGGTTAGTAATATAAGCGGCTGTTGAAACTGCTTCAGCCCAAAACATTTTAGGTAACCTGGAATTCAAAATTAGGCATTTAGCTCTCTCCACTAATGTGCGGTTCATCCTCTCGGCCATGCCATTTTGTTGAGGAGTATGTAGATTACTAGTTTGATGCTGGATACCAAATTTACACAGAAACAATTTAAAATCTTTATTTATATATTCTCTTCCATTGTCTGAACGTAATATCTTAATCTTTTTATTAGTTTCATTTTCAACTAAATTCTTATATTCTTTAAACTTTTCTAATGTTTCAGATTTATTTTTCATGAAATAGACAGAAACCTTCCTACTGTAATCATCTGTGAATGTAACGTAATATCTGGCACCCCCAATAGAACTCGTCTCCATCGGACCACATAAGTCGGAGTGGATCAATTGGAGCAATTCAGAAGCTCTAGTACCAGTATTATTGAATGGTTTTCTACACATTTTTCCTTCTAAGCAAGTTGTACAAAACTGATTGCCTAGTTTTAATAATTCTACCCCTTCTGCACTATCTGTTATTTTCTGTAAGTCTGTGAAATTGAGATGGCCCATCCTCTGATGCCATAGATTTATATCTTTCTCATTTACTGTCGATAGCAATGCCGGTGCTTCAGAAACATTGTTTAATACATACATGTTATTGCGATGCAGAGCTGTCAATATTAATTTATTATTCTGATAAATTCTACAACCATTTCTCTCAAATTTTACTTCACAGCCATTGTTTACCATTCGACTTACAGAAAGTAAATTTACTGTTAGTGTGGGTACAAATAGAACATCTCTAACCTGTATTGTCCGTATTATGCCATCTGAGTCAATTACTTGTAAATCCACCTTGCCACTACCTTTTACTGGTGCTGTTTTATTGTCAGCAACTTTGATGTTGTTGATTGTAGTTGGATTAACATCATACATCCGATCCCTATTGTTGCACATATGTAATGATGCACCGGAATCAATGTACCAGGAGTTTCCATCCAACTCTGCAGCAACTGGAAAAGCGGCAAAATAGCTGTTATTTTTACAATTATCATGGTAAGCGGAGCTTTTCTTTTTGTCTTTGAAATAGCATTCTTTACTCATGTGCCCATGCTTGTTACATACAAAGCACCGTGGGCCTTTGCCATGCTTTTTAACATGCGATTGGTTATGTGGATTATGATTAGGCAGTAACTTATGCATATTTTTATTATATGACTTAGCATAGAAAGCAGCAGAATCTGATACCTTAACCTCTTGCAATAACTTAGTTTTTACATAGTCAGCAGTAATATTCACACCAGAGCTCTCTAAAGCCATTATCATCGGTTTGTAGTAATCAGGGAGGCCAGCGAGCAGCAGTGTACCAAGCCACTCGTCTCCTACTATAAAATTGATATTTCGAAGCTTGTGAGCTGTCGATATTACCTTATTGACATATTCTTCGACGCTCGAGCAATTTTCTAGATTAGTGGTTACAAGATCTTTTAACAGGCCTACCTTTCTGCTGAGCCCGGAGTCATCAAATACGGATTCCAATTTTGTCCAAACCTGTTTGGCGCTCGTCGAGTCTTGAACGTGGACATAGTTCAGAGGATCAATTAGTAGAATGATTTTAGACTTCGCTTTCGTGTTTTTTTTGCTGTCCGATACATATCCTGGTTCGTAGGGTTCAATCTCCTGCCATAGTTCTTCATGCTCCAGATAATTTTTAACAGCGAATTTCCAACTTTGATAGTTTTCACGGCCAACCAATTTTTCAATGGTGCCGATTGATATTTGAGAAGATGCCATCATGTAATTAAATCTGAAATGCTGAAAAAGAACGTCGGTGTGGCCGGGACGCGGTAATGGCCGTTGAGATTGCCAACAGCTAATACGAATCTGATTGAATCGCGGTACTGTAGTGTCGAATTACTTTTACTGTATCCTAATGGACATACTGGGCCCATAACCTAATGTTCAATAGAATAATTAGAGGTAATTCCAGAACTAAACTTTATTAAAATAAAAATGCACGACTGAGCGATAAAACTATATTCACGGAACAGGGCGGAAGTACAAGAGAAAAAACATGACAACACAAGTGAACTGAGTGACACTGACAGTTAATACAAAAAACGTCACATTACATTATGTTATCTGTGGTTTGTAATTAGTAAACTAATCACAACACCGACCTATTGATTTTTATATTATTAGATAACACAACATAACATCACGCCTTTTATCCTCGAAAGGCAGAGGTGCACATTACGACACTTAATGCCACTGTACAATAATAACACCCACTTTTCACTATTTATGTTATGAGTCCAATAACAATCCCGTGTAATAGGGGGGCTCACCCCCTATTACACGGGATTGCCATATACCGGGCACATTTCAAGACTCCATGCTACTACTGAGAATTTCTTTAAAAACGCAGTAATATTTTGGCCGGACGCGGGAATCGCACCCGAGACCCACTCACACTTGCGACTATTCGGCCAACGCGGCTGTCATATTTTATTATTATCCGTGTAATCAATTTTTATATGAGAACGGAACATAGACCGATTACACGTAGATAAATCCGAAATGGCGACTTATCAATGCAATGCCTATGTAAATACCAAATTAGGTTATGTACTTATAATAGTCAAACATAAGCTATTAGCGTAGTTATTTTTATTATATAAATATCTTTTTAATATGTCCATTACATATTTCATTGTGGCCCGGATGGTTAAGACGCTCGCTGCTCTTGCAAGAGGTCCGAGTTGATTTAGACATCAGTGAGATACGGTGAAGGAAAATATCGTGACGAAACCTGAACTTATAATTTCTAATCACGTATAAGTTTGAAATGGCTAATCCGCCTTAAGGAAGCGGGGTGATTAATACTTACTGAAACCTTTTCTGTGTGACACCTTTCATAAAATACAAAAGTATATAAAACCTTGTTTATAACCTCTTTCGCGTTACTCTCAACCAGTCCTTGTTTCCAACCAACTTAAAGTTGAGAAGTATTGAAAAGGACAGACAAATTCACGCAAGCAAAGCCACGAAATAAAGCTATTTTAAAAATAATAATTACACGTTGTTATCAAATAGCGTATGCAATTAAAATACGATAACCCACTTGTTCTTTTCTTAATCAATTTAAAAATCAGTTGGAAATTTATTGTAGGTAGGTATAAGAAAATTAATTAATTTCTCATGTTAAACTATTATCTAAACACAGATTAAATTTACAATAAAGAATGTTACCGTGACGTAATATTAAAAATAATCTACGCTTTGTATCTTAAATAGCTTAACCCAGCTACCACCTTTTACTATGTTTAAAAAAATACAATGTATAGGACGTTGTCCTATGACGTCACAGTATAACGTTAATTTTATATGAAAACTGCAAGTTATCAAAACTTAGACGCATAATATTTCGGCCGGTTTTGATTGTACGACAAAACGAAGAGCCGATTTTTCATTGCTCAGTTAAATTTTATCAAAGGAATAACTATGAATATTTGACGATTTCTCCACACTGATAACTGATTAACTGATAGATACAGTTACTCTACTCCACACTGATACAGTTAAGAATTAACTGATCATTGAAAAATCGACCTTAAGTATACAAATATTCGTTACGTCAACGGCTTCATAGTTACACACATTTCTAAAAATGTGACTTCATTATGATGCACACACATCTGCAGCACATGCTTGTCCACTGCCGGAATATTAGCCTCCTCTATATAAGAGAAGTTTGCCATAATATCCTCGCTTAATAATATAAATGCGGGTTAGAGATTTTAGATTAAAAAAATTATATTTGTTCATCTCCTTAGGCCCGGCGCCCACTTTCGGTGGGCATCGGTGAGGCTCGGTACAGATCGGGTGCCTTACGGCGGCTTCGGGTTCTTCAGGCAGCTTCGATATAGTGATTCATTTTTATACATATACTTATAATATACATATTTATAATATAAATGATTGAACAAGTGCTGGTATAATTATCATGACACTACGTAGTAACCACTCGCTACTTATCGCTCTGTTTTTTCCCGAGAGATTAGTTGTTTTGTAGGGATATGGAAACCTTGTCTCTTCATTTTTGCGATAAATATTAAGAGATCATCTGATTCGATAATTCGATTCATACATTTTTTATGGGATCAGCCAGTAAACAAACAGACGGATCACCTGATGGTAGGCAATCGACGCCGCCCATGGACACCAGGAACACCAAAGGCATTGCCGGCCTTTTGAGGTTTAGGAATTTAAGGATAGTTGGGAATTTGGGGTATTGGGGAGATTGGAGAGGAGAGTAACTGGGGGTCTTACACGACAAAAACACAGACAACACGAACGTTGTTTCACTTCGGTTTTTTGTGAGGCCGTGGTATCACTCCGGTCGAGCCGGTCCATTGGTGCCGAGGCATGGCTCTCCCAAACTTAATCTTATCATACTTAATAAACAAACATTAAGTTTTATTACTGCTAATTCATTAAATAACAACGTATATCATTTATTTCTATAATGTAACAAGTATGTACATATAACAATAATATCACACATTTCTCTCACTTCTTTTTATCGTAACACGATTTTGATGGGTCGAAGAACATATCTAAAAGTTCGCTGTCATAAACTTTTTCTTCTTCACTATTATAATTTAGGGCTTCACAAACACGACATAGATGATAAGATTTGGTCCCAAAATATCCGTGTTCATTGATAACTTCGAAATGATTTCTCCATGTATGCATCGAGAGAAGGAGATCGACGTTTGACGCAACAGCCTTTATATCTTTGGCTAGATTTTCTATATCTGTGTCCGCATCAGCGAATATGTAAGAATTTGGTGGTAATAGGCTCTCAACGTCTTCACGAGATGGTCCAAATATAACTGGTATTGCACCTTTCGAGTACGCATGATAAAATCCCTTCTCAGTCAAATATTGATAACAACTCGTGTTTTCTAACACTAAGTAAAAAAAGTATTCTGCAATTGGGTCACAATCTGATTTAAAATGTCCAGGACAACTGAAAGAAAAGAATATTTCATTAAACTAATTTCCAGAAGAAAGTGTAGCATATCTGATCACATATACTATATCTACAATTTTTGGATTCGATCTCACACTAGGTTTGTAGAAAATACATAATCGGCACATCACAACAGCTTGTGTTGCTGCCACCTTTTTGAAACTGAAAGAAATTTATGAATCCTTAACTTATTTACCTTGTTCGAAGCTCTTTCTTGTCGGAACATCCTCCATACACATCTACGTCGATGTACTTCCTTAATTTTTTTAAGAAATCATTTCTTGCTTTCATCGCACAGTTGGACATCAGCACTGCAGCTGTTTTATCTGGTCTTTTTCGATCCCAGTTTGGTATCAATGTGGCTATTTCTGCTAACGTATTATATTCACTTAATACCGGTTTTGGTAAAAGAACAGTTCGACCATAGGGTACCGGAATGTCAGCGTCGCTCCTGGAAAAATAAAAAAAATGAACCTATTATTAACTTTTAGAAAAAAATTTACTGCACGGTTGGTGTGGTTGCTGGGCAGCCAGCTGCCATGCAACGTGTCACGGTTTCGATTCCCGCACGGAACAACACTTTGTGTGATCCACAAATTGTTGTTTCGGGTCTTGGTGTCATTTTGTATGTAAACTTGTATGTTTGTAAACCTTGTATGTTTCCATGACACAGGAGAAAATCCTAGTGTGAGGCAACGTTTACAAAAAATATTCCGTTGTCCATAAAAACAGCTTTAGAAAAAAATTGGTCCTAAATGAATCTACATGCGAATTTTAAACCAATCATTTCGACTGTTGCTTGCATCAATGTCAATTACTATGATTAGGATTTAAAGACAGGCAGCAAGCAGACTAGATTTTTATAATATACAGGCACAAAATAAAAAAACTTTTCGCTATGTTTACTTTATAACAAATAGACGAATTTAATTAATTTGTATTGACTTTATAACTAAGTACCAACATTATTCTGAACGTAATGGTATATTTTTTTACATTCCACGAATAGGTATAGAGCCGTAATAAAAAACAGGATGTATTACCGAATAAAAATAAAAGCGTGACCACATACTCATACATACTTAATTAAAAAAATTAAGAAGGTACGCAGACGACACGAAAGAAATCTATTAAATCAAATTAGATACCACATATTGCCTCATTGACTGAGTGGTCGAAAATGCAACTGCTGGGTAAGGGGTCTCGGGTTCGATTCTCGGGTCGGGCAAAGTATTACTGGGTTCTTTTAAAAACTCAGTAGTAGCACGGCTACTCCTCAAGCCTGGAAATGTGTCCGGTATATGGGAATAGGCTCACCCCCTATTACATGGGCATGGGACTCTTAACATATGTCGAGAAAAGCGGGTGTTATTACTGTACAGTAGCATTAAGTACCATAATGTGCATCTCTGCTTACGCCTTCGGGGATAAAAGGCCTGATGTTATTTTAGGTACCACGTAGATTATATGTTGTATCTATATAAATTGGAGGTATTTGTTATCTAACATCTATCTATCGTTCGTATCCACGAACGATATAAAAATTTTAATTAATTAAGTACCTACCGATATGTCATGGACCAATTGAATACATTGTACAGAGTTTCCATTTTCGGACGCCGCGAAGCCAATGTGAACGCATGTATTGGCGATTCATCGTTCAAAAATATCCATCTTTGTTTAGGGTTCCTATTTTTCACTGTTGGTACCACTCCTCTTTGAATGTGAACGAGAACTGCGTCCGCTGTGTCCATGAGGGCGTCATCACCAGAAAATATGCAATTTTTGACGCTGCAACCGTCCAAAATGTCTTTTTCTTCTCTGTGAACAATATACAGTAATATCAGTCACTATGTCACTATGTTAGATAATGATTATGCGGGTTACGATAGTTATTGCGCAATAATAGTATCACAGTAGGTACGCAACTACCTGCTAAGTTCTCATTTTAATAACGTAATTCCTCCTTTTCGTATTTTTTTGTATTTAGCGAAAATTTACCTTTAAAATTAGTTCTACTCCACTTATACCTAAGGGTAACTTCGTACACATAATTTTACCTCAAAATCATTTATTTCAATTAGACCAGGAAGGCACTTTTGAACGTCAATAACAAAAATTTTAAAGTGAAGCTAGTTGCTAATTCTAAGGTGTAGATTCCTATGGAGAAGAACGAGCAAAAACTCCATAGGTTACCCTTTTTCAATCCGGTTTATAATACAATTCTCTAGTTACATAGATTTCTTGGTTCGATTGTGTGAGAATAATGCAACTTCTAAATGCATTCAAAGAGTCGTCCAAAAGAGATGCCCTTATGTCGATAATTCCGTACATAAATATAAAGCCACAGTTGTATATTCGGGTAATATATGATCACACAAATGGTACGCATTACACACGTAGCGTACACGATTCGACACAAACATACGTGATAGGCGTTTCAAAATGCGATATGTTCCACAGAAATGAAAATACAAAGGCTTTAAGATTTCGTATTTTCAAACAAATATGAAATAGCAGCGAGTTTTTTTTTCTGAGTTATACGTAATTTCTAAAATTATCTAGACACCACTGACAAATAGTAAAGGAAAACATCGTGAGGAAACCGGACCTTATAATTTCTATTTATAAGTTTGTAATTGCCGCCACTCATTGAGCAAGCGTGGTGATTAATGCTCAAACCTTCTTCGTGTGAGAAGAGGCTTTGCTCAGCAGTGAGCACTTATAGGCTTATATATACCTTTTTAATGATGAAATAACAGCGTACGTACGGTCGATCAACAAATTGTATCATATTTTTCCCGAAGTTGAATCGAGATCTCAGTGCTTTAACGGCAGTAGCACTTACAACCACTCAATCAATAAGATTTTCTAAGTACAGGCAAACTATCAACTTAAAACTAACAGATACCATAACTTCTCTAGACTTCGGAAGAAAAAAATATACAAATCTTCAATATTCTATGACCCAGATTGAGCATTATGAATGAGCATTGTACCTCTATATCGTGGTGGCCCAAGACGCCCACTTCGCATGCATGACAGCATGAGGGTGCGAGTTTGAAACCTACCTAGACTCGGCTCGCTCATCGTGCTGGTGGGCTGATTCAGTAGGGTTAGTCTAAGATAATAAGACTATAATAATTAGGTAACAACATAAAGTATTGTGTGTAGTGATAGTGGTAGGCGTAGCATGTATATTTGAAATATTTGACCAAAAATATTTGACCATGAAAATTATGTACTTGTAATATGACAAGAGCACGGACACGAGTCCGTGGAGAAATTCAATTTATTTATTTATTATTTACATACTTCCTAAGATTTTCTTTGGAGACTACCAAGAACCAACTCATGAGACAACCAAACCTATTCAAGTTTAAACTTAACCTAACATTACTTAATTTTTTCACAAAGCTTTTACGAGTATAATCATCCGGGAAATCACACATCTAAATATTTCGATTAGTCATAATGGTAAATAAAGAATCACCTCATACGTATTTTTTTCCCTTAAGTAGTTAATTACCTACCTAGCGCCGTTCAAAATTAGTCATCGCCGTTACGACGGTCAACACAGCAAGGCTGTAACCATAGATTTAATACTATGTGGCTATAACAGTGGTGTTTCAACCTGGCGGGCGCTTTTCTGGTTACTAAAGGTGGTGGTGGGTCATGCTATGTAGGTACTGTAGCCACTTCACCAGTTAATTCATCTAAGTATCTCATATTGTTCCTAATGAGATATACTAACTTATTATTATATTCATATCTTTATTTGCATTCCATAATGTTTCTTAAGATGTTACATTGTCTTAAAGCTAAGACACAAATTATGGACCCTGTCGGGCACAGAAAAATACAAAGTTTAAATTTCAGAATTCAATTCAATTAATAACATAACATAACTTCCTGGTTTAGAATCGAAATTACAATATTACAACAGGACTGATAAAGGAGTCAAGTGTCTATGCAAAAAAAAAACAAAATGCCATTCATAATGGTCCACATACCCTTCTTTCCCAAAGTTAAACACATGTCGGTGCTTCAACCAATCCCAATATTTCCAAACGAGCACGACGTATTGCCTTCCTGCATTAGGGTTAGGGTTTGGTATTGGGTCCCCATGAAATAATATTCCACCCAATACTGAAGTCGACCAACTCTGAGGAATAAATAAATTAGTTAACAATTACTCTTTAATAAATGATTATTATCTACGATTAAATGCACTAATGGCATTCTTTACCTTTCTTTGGGGTTTCTCAACCCATAATACGTGGTTCTAAAATGAAAATAATTTCTTAATCGATATACATACAATACACACATAAATATACATACTCATAGACAATTCATTTGTGAGTTGTGTGGTTAATGTAATATGCGAATATGGTTTTTTGTGGATTTTCGAAGTGAGAATTTCTACCAAACTAGCTACAGGTTTAACTCCTATAGACATTTTCATTTTAAACGGTCTGTCGAGAACCTAACGGGTAACCGGGGCTCCGGCTCGACGTGCAGGAGAAGGAACGGGGTGGTTTTTAATCAGTAAGAGTCTGACACTCCCTCCCGCCTCACCCAGGTGGGAGCAGACTTTCGATGATTTTCCCCCCTTAAAAAAAAGGCTAGCTGTGTGATATGACTATTTATGAAGCTACTAGCCTCACGAGGAAAATCGACCCGAATAAATACCCTTTTCCTCATAATGCCAGTACGTTTTAAACAGAATTTTAAAATAAGCCCATTATTTTAAAAAAATGTGTCAAAAAATTCATAGAATTTTGAATAGACGAGTAAAAGTTATATATGCACCCACAAAACCATGAGAACACCACAGATGCAAATTCTTTATAATGAAACAAAGGATACAAAAATTGATTGTCAAATTACAGTCAATGTTGTTAATAACAATCTATTCAAATATCGAACTGTTATGGCCTAACACAACACTTCAGAAAACGGCTATGAATCAACACTTCGGATAGGGTAGACGACTAATTTTTATTTTAATGTCCGTCTGGTAGATTATTTAAAAACATTAGACACGTATTTTTTATTTTCTTACGGAAACGAATAGTTTCGAAGATATATTGATTTGAAATGTCGCGTGACGTCACTTCTCAGTACATTTTATACTGAGAAATGACGTTTTAGCCCCCACTCCTAAACTTTGATTCGTTTTATCTAAGTATTGTTTTATTAAACGACAAAATAAAAAAATACGTGTCCTATATTTTTTAATTACCTAACTTACGGACTAATTAGATTTTTAATTTTCATACCCTGTCATCATCCTCATTTTAAGTACATCACACGTGAGTCTGAGTGCCTAGTATCTATATAAATAATCTATTAATTTCTATACATCTCTATATATACAAGAACTAGCTTCTGCCCGGTTTTGCCCACGTTCCCGTCAGATAAATGTAATCTATATGTTATTCAGACCATAATGAATTCCTGTTCAAAATTTCATCCCGATTACTTTAGCTGTTTTGTCGTGACTGAGTAATAAGAAACATACACACAAAGTCACAAATGTATCAAACATATTACTCTTCAGAGCCTTCTGTCAGTCATTTTACACGTGCAGTCTCTGGATCAGATTTACGAGGCGGGCTTATAATGCCCTGCGTGTGCAGTACAATGATGCACTGAGGGCAGTCTTGAGGAAACCCAGGTGCTGCAGTGCGTCCGCAATGTTTGCGGATGCTTCCATTGATGATTTCTTCTGCATCATTCGAAAAAGAACTGCATCAATGATGAGCAGGGTACGTTCCAGCGCCAATGCTGTCCTCAGAACGTTGGCTTACAAAATGGACAGTCCGTTTATTGTGTACTGGGCCAGTGTACACTTGCTTAGAAATAAGAAATAGACTCCTGTTTTTTTAACTTCTTTTTAGTTTGTTTACTAACAAATTACTAACACTTGATGTTTTGTATTATTGTGTGAAGTACTAACAACCATACTAACAAATTCAATTTACTTATTTAACAATTTTTTCATTTATTTTTCTAAAAGTATATGGACCTACGTCTGAAATAAAGATTATTATTATTATATTATAGATTCTGCAACTGTGTCCGGTATATGGCAATAAGATCACTCATAATTTAATTGACCCATATCATATTGGTTAAATGAGAGTGTTATTGCGTATTTATGCAGACAGAAGTGCACACTTCTGTCTACCCCTTCATGGAATAAATGGAGTGAGATTTATCATCATCATCAACAACCGGAAGACGTCCATTGCTGGACAAAGGCCTCCCCCTTAGTCCACCACGTCGAACGACAACTTGCCACCTGCATCCACTGGCTCCCCGCAACTCTGGCTATGTCGTCAGTCCACCTAGCGGGAGGCCTGCCCACGCTCCGTCTTCCAGTCCGTGGTCTCCACTCAAGGACGTTCCTGGCCCATCTGCCGTCAGTCCTTCGAGCGACGTGGCCTGCCCTTTACCGCTTCAGTCTGCATATTTTGCGAGTTATGTCAGTAACTCTTGTTCTTTGGCGAATTTCCATATTTCGGATTTTGTCGCGCAAAGAAACCCCAAGCATGGCTCTCTCCATCGCATGCTGAGCGACTTTGAGCTTCATGTGAGATTTATGTGATAGTAATAATATAATTAACTACTTGTCCATAATAATAGACCACTTTTAAAATGAGATAAGTAGACTGAATCTGAGAACTTAGAACTTGCTGTGAAACGAATAATTTATTTTTAAAGTTAAAGAGGGTTCGATGAAATGAAAAAATACACTAATAGTTCCGTTTTTTTGCTCCTAAGTGTATTCCGCATCTACAACTTTATTACAAAAATATTCGATGCTTGATTCGATTTTTTGGGAAAGTAATATTACCTATATTTGCCGGCTCACTATCTAACTTATCATTATCATGTAGAAGATAAATGAAATATTGGGAATATAATTCTAATCAGATATGACGAACTGGTTAAACAAGTGAGTACTTAATATTGATCTACGTTTTGTTAATATGTATATTTCTAACGACACCAACTACTTGTATCTAGTACGAATTTTGTGTAAAAACATTATTTACGTTAACATTTATAGTAGTACTTAATATATGTTACATTAAGTACTACTATAAATGCCTATGTTTATAATATAATATAGAATTGTAAAGCGAATAACTTATGAAGATAGAGCTCTGCTATCAATAACCTCGCTGGTACTTATATTAACATAACATCACGCCTTTTATGTTGATAAGCATTTTCGTTCAATCTGTCTCTATGTGGAACGCGCTGCCCAAGGAAATCAGAATGGCAAATAATCGCTGTTCATTTAAATTCAAGGTTCGAGAACACATTTATAAAAAGTGGCAAACTCAAAACAGTAGTAATATGTAGTCTATGTATTGCATTTATTTATATATGTATGTATTATATAATAATTATATCATATTTGGGATATATATTTATTATATAATTCATTTTAAGACCTTATACCCTTAGTTATGTATTATCGACTATAACAATCATGTCTTCCCTCTTTAATATTTTATTACCTTAACTTCGTTATCTACTTCATACTTTCTCTTTACAATTTTGCACCTACCGCTTTAACATTCTGCACCACCCAATGGTCGACTGTCAGAAAATGCCTACGGCATTAAGTCCGCCGATTCACTGTATGTGCAATAAAGTTTTAATAAATAAATAAATAAGCAGAGGTGTACATTATGACACTGTACAATGTAATACCCACTTTTTACTATTTATGTTATGAGTCCCATATAATAGGGGGTGAGCCTATTGCCATATACTGGGCACAATTCCAGACTCCGTGCTTCTGATACTTGAAACTAACTAGTTGATAACAATTTTTAACTAATAAAATAACAAAATAAATGTGAGAAACCTTTTTATATTTGATGGGCCGACGTTTGACCACTATCTCGTCTGGTGGTAAGCAATGAAGCGGTCTACGATGGAGCACGTAGTCCACTATCAATTAATTCTTAGCCTGACCCGAAACATTACCGCCAAGTAGTCTGAAAATTACCTGTGTACAGTACTACATGTATGAATTTGACACAGACTCGGTGTTGCTGTGTTTCTATTAATTTAGATACGCGCTTGGGTGATATATTGTTTTTCTTTATGTACTTAAGTATCGATTATCAAGGACAACGGTAATAGATAAAACTATTTTAGTGAAGTGAAAATGGTTTCAGTTAGATATGTAGGTACAAATGAAACAAAATAACTCTAAATGAAACAATTTTCAAACACTGAGTAAAACTACTTGAGGTAAGCTAAAAACTAAAATTTAAAAGCCTAATAATTATATTATCCATCCTAAATATTGCCTGAACTATATCACAAATAGATGGATTTGAGACACAGGAAAGTTATTCATAGGAACTTATTTAATTCTAACTGCATGGCGACCTTTGAGCGTGGCTATGGTGTCAAATCATAAAACAATAAACCGATAGTCACAACAAACGCAGTGTTTTGGATACATTACATGCAAAGTAGCTACTTCAAACAATGACAGAAACTCATGAAGATGCAGTTCTGAATTTCCATTGTACATAATACTGTATTTACATTTTTTTTAAGGGGTCAATCATCGAATGACTGCTTCCGCCTGGGTGAGGCGGGAGGGAGTGTCAGACTCTTACTGACTAAAAACCACACCCCGTTCCTACTCATGCACTTCGAGCCAGAGCCCCGGTAATTCCTTAGGTTCTCCGCAGCTCCACTGTATTTACATTGTGATAACTATCCTCTTCCATTCATGTAATCATTTTAAGTGATTATTAATTACCTATAACTAACTTTTATAGAAATTATAGGTTCATCAAGTAAAGCAATATTTACTTGAATCTTTATCTTAATTTAAATTTATTTTTTACCAGAAACAATTTATTTTTTTATCGTGGTATCAAACAATTGATAAATACTATGTACGAAGTACTTACCGTGCGAAGTGCATTAAAATTGAACGCGTTTGAATCATGCACATGATATGTAAGTCTTTGAGCCTCTGTATATCCAACAAAATGATATGCAAAAGGAACGATCACAGAAATACCAAATATGAACAATATGGCAGTTTTCTTTTTAAACATGTTGTTTTTAACTTATTATTTTTCCCGTCCAAGTCACACAGTACACTAATAAGTATTAATATTTAATTATTTTCTATATTCACTGATAATTTCACACACAAAACCGCACTTCGTTTTCCAAACCCACTTGTAGCTTGCATTCATTTTACTTAAGAATACGAACATTAAGGAGCACTAATGTGAAACATAAAAGACACTATTAAAACTGTAATAAAACGGAACTACGTAATTCCATGTGTGATACGATATTTTAGACCTTAGTAGGTATTAGTCACAGTACACACTGTGCTAGTCGTCTGTTATGAGTCGGCCTGTATACCTCCGTTAAGGTGACTGAAACACGAGTGTGTGCGGAATATGGCGAGCTGATGATAACATACACGTACATTGTTACCGAAACGTAAACTGCGAATGGACATACATACAAGCCAAACAATAGCGGTGAAATCGGTTATATTTGACCACGGACGTCCAATTCAATGATAAGATTGTTATCAATATTTTTTAACACTAGGTATCAACGCGAAGTCGAAAAATTCGTAGCATTAATGTATTTCATTTGTTTTGTAGATTAGACAAGAACGTGGATATTGATAAAAATAATGTTACTTCATTTATTTGTGTTAACACGACCAGGAAAAACTTATAATGTGTATGAAACATTCTAAATATAGATGCTAATGTAACATTTTAATACTGAAGTTTGCACTTAGATTATGAGTAAAAATACCTATGTACGGATTTAAAAACATGGTTTTTGTTGCACCCCGAAGAAGAATCGGCCAAGATGTATAGCTACCTACTCAATATTAAAATGTAACATCCACAACATCCATTTTGTTAATCACATGAAACATGACGTTGAAGCTGCAAAATAACAACGGATGTGATTACAAAATAGTAATGGGGACTTATAAACAAGTTTATTTTAATACTAGCTACTTCCGCGCGGTTTCACACGCTCTGCTCAGCTCCTATTAGTCGTAGCATGAAGTTTTATAGCCTATAGCCATTCTCGATAAATGTGGTATCCAACACAAAAAGAATTATTGCGATTGCAAGTGCGATTGCCGGGCAAGGAGTTCTGGGTTCGATTCCCGGATCGGGTAAAATTATTACCGGGTTTTAAAAAAATCTTAGTACTAGCACGGAGTCTGGAATTGTGCCCGGTATATGGCAATAGGCTCACACCCTACTTATTACATAGGACTCATAATATAAATAATGAAAAGTGGGTGTTACATTGGTGGGGATAAAAGGTGTGATGTTATGTTATGTTATGTTAAACATAAACATAACATCACACCTTTTATCTCCAAAGGGGTAGACCGAGGTGCACATTATGCCACTGTACAATGTAACACCCACTTTATGTTTAACATGTGCTGAAATATTTTTAACCTCTTTTCTTTCGGATTCAAAAAAGGAAGGAGATTCTCACTCTCTGTTTGATCTGTATATGTATGGTACCTATGTTTGTCCGCATTTATCTCGCGATGGCTGAACCGATTTTGATGCGGTTTTCAGAAAACTTTTTTTACACTCAGGAGCAGATTTTATTGTCAACTAACGTCGCGGTTGAAGTCGGTATTATTAAACGTAGTTTATTGAAAATGTAATTTATGTGCTTGGGTTATTATATCTTAGATAGTCGTTTAAGTGACATGAATATTGAACTTAAGTTTAATTAATTTATTGCGATAAAAAAGCCGCAATCATGATTATTATACATAATTCTATAAAATTAAAAATTAGTTTTATACTAAGTACATAATAAAAGAACAAGTATTGCTTTATCAATTACGGCCTTTAGTTTTATATCTACAATGGAGGTAGTTATGGAAAAAAATGGATTAAGTAAATTGTCGGTATGGTCGTCAAGATAAAGATTGTGTACCAAATATCAGATCGATGTATCGTCAGAAAGTGTCGCGGAAAACCTAACGGGGCGGTTTTTAGTCAGTTACCTAACCTAACCCAGGCGGGAGCAGTCATTAGATGATTTTGCCCCCTTAAAAAAAAACGTCAGAAAATGGGTATAATTCTAATCACCGAATATGACCGAAACCAACAAACGAGGTACCTAAACTAAATAAACTCGTTTAGTCTAATTGCTCTTAAAACTGCTTACAGAACAACAGGAAAATACGTAGCTCCCCATTATTATTAAGCTGCACATCATTCCAACAACGTCGACACAGCAAACAAAATATTATGTTGATTCCATCATTACACTGGCTCGTTGCAATAAATATTAGCATAAAATTACCTTAAAAATGATATATTTAAACAATGTATTTGCATATTACGAGGCTGACTATAGAAATTAAATCACAATGTAAATCCCAGTAATATCATTTGCGCTGCGCTTACCCAGCCTATTCCAGACAATCTCTCTTTAGGGTTCCGTTTGGAAAGCTTAAAAATGGTACCCTGTAACGAAGATTTCGTATTCTCGTCTCTTTGTCACCAGATTGTATCGCAAGAATCGCGATAGCTAATCAGTGGTTTTCACAAATGATGTAGATATTGCTAATTTTCAAATTCTTTTATAACTTATAAATATATAAAATGTATGAATTTTGACCCAGTAGCGCAGTGGAGAACAGTCCCATCGGTCTTTGAATACGTTCAGCAGACTGTTAATGGCAGTGCGCAGCCTCCTACGCTCATTTTCCCTATGATGGCGTTAAAATCATCCGTGTGCGCCTCTATAAACATATCGGACGCATTAAATCGCCACGCATGTCCCAGTAGCATTCTGAACGCCTTTATATATTGGACACGCAGACCACTATATGCCCTCTACGTATAAGTGCGTAAATCCAAAGACTGCACGAGTAAAAAGAAGCTTTAAAAATGTGACATTTACTGGTTTTGCACAACGTGCAAACTTCGAAGCAGCACATCACATCGAACAGCCAACGATCTGCGTTCCCTCTCGACATCGCCATTGTCCTTAAGATCATCAGCGACCCAAAGACCCAAAGTACTTAAACTTAGTCACCCAATTCAAAGAGCAAGAGACCTATTTGTTTGCCCCTTTTTGAATGTTTGCCTAGTCAATGGTACCCTTTTTGAGGGTGGAAAATCATCCAATGATTTCTCCCTGTCTTGAGCGAGGCGAGACAGAATGACTGACTAAAAACCATCCCATTCCTACTCCTGCTTCGAGCTGGAGCCCTGGTAACCCGCTATGTTCTCCGCAGCTCCGCAACCCTACGTGTGCGAAGCCGACTCGCACTTGGCCGGTGTTTCTTCACTTTATTGTGACACAGCAAGTCCGCCATTACAAAAATAGCCGAGAGACTAAAAGGATAATTAAATTGTGAAAATGTTTTCCACATTATTCGGCATTGCTTAATTTTAAACTCTGGGTAAAGTATACATTTTGTTTTTCTGACACCCTCTTTATACCAGGGATTTACGGAAGTATTAAGGCCGTCACATACCTAGCTATAGCTAGCTGCGTCTATGACTATGTCTGTCACAGCCTCTACGCTTGAGATTACTGCGCATTACTGTATAGAACTTAGGATTTTTTATTAGCAATACACGACATGCTTCCCAAATTATACTATACCAAACATATTATTACAATTGACTGTCATATTAAGAAAATAATTTAAAAAGGCATCATTTGTGACATTTTTAGCGATATCGAAATGCTACTTATAATACGGTTGTTAATAGGTAGTCAAAGCCATACTTTTATTGAAATGTCAAGAACGATACTTTTCTATGAATTTTGTATTGGTTCGCAACTTATGACGTCATCATATTTCTGCGTATAATAGCATACTTATTTGTTTAAAATAAGCGAGAAAAATCCAAAAGTAGGTAAATTATCAAATCAATGAATAAGAGTATGATTAGTTTTTCATTATTTATTGCATTGAAAAGTTGAAACAATTTATTTTAAACCTAAGAAACTAGCCAATTGTAAACTTATTAAATGTTCTCTCTAAAATAATTTAGATTGGCATCATCCATTATATTTCGTTAGAGATAGCAAGTTGTACTATCAAAAGTTTCATATCTATATGTAGTTACACATTTACCTGTCTATGGATTTGTCTGTCAGCTGTAGTCATATAGTTATTTTAAAGTACAGTTAAGTGGGTAGGCAGTTACCAGGTTTTTTTTAATCAAACGTACTAAAATATCGGATTTCAATTTATCACTAGATAACTAACCTACCATGCTAAATGCGTAAAACTGCAAATAGTAGAGCACGAAAATAATTAAAATTAATACCTACTTCATATCCAATATTTCGGGAAAAAACTTCGTCAAATTACATTATTAGCTGAGATAGACAACAAACTACAGCAAGCATTAAAATCTTTGGTAAAGCTGGGCTCCTAATTTAATCCGTATTTAAGCCTTTTACGAGCGTCCTTGTATTTCTTAAAACAATTAATGTTGTTTCCTATCTACGTAATGCTAAGAGAAGTTTTCTCAAAGGCTTAACATGGCTGTCGTTTCCGTGAGGATTAGCCAAACTACTTTGTTACTGCTGCTCTCCTGTGATATTTGTCAACACAACGTTGTTTAATTAATAAAAGGATAAAACAGATTTAAGTCCTGCTTATTAATTAAACCAAACTTTTTTGTTTCTGTACTATATAGATCATGTAAGATAATTCTTTCGAATTTCAAATTATTTGTCAGAGATCACATTTTTTATCGTCTACCTTGCCTTGTGAAATTCAAATAAAACAGTGTGTTAATATTAACGTACGCGCATTGAAGCTTCTCAAATTTCTTTCTCCATTTTACGTTTCCTCTTGAACACCTTCAACAATACAAGTAATAAAAACAAACTTGTATCATAATTCAAAGGGACCAGTCTCTCCCTGAATAACAATGCGATGAAATTTATTACTCAATGAACAGTGGATTTATATTTCTTCAGAAAGATCCCCAGAGTAAACTTTCAAAACTCGAAATGATTTAGAGACTCCGGAAAATGTAGGTCCAGCAAAATATCAATTTGCCTTGATAATTAATTATGCTGATTCATTAAATAAAAACGTTTAATATTGATTTGTACATACATACTAAATTATTATGACTGTATTAACCAAACTCTCAAAAATGATGTGGTTCTCAATACGGCCATGGTGTATGTTCCGCGATTGGTCCAGCGTTTGTGGATGGATAATCGGATGATTCTTTTTTGTTCAAAAGGTTATACTTTCGAGGTGGTCCCATTTCCACCAGGCCAGGATCTGAAGATGGATCTTTTAAAAATTGTAGGTGAAACCATCGTACATCCATTAATTTTTTCGTTAAGTATTTAAAACTACTACAATTTGATAAAGGTCTAAAGTCAATCTGGTGATAGAGCCAAGAGACAGTTGATAGAACTCGTACGATGATTGAGGGAACTACTCAACGGTTAACCGTAGCTACTTTGTGTATGTGCTTGATTAATCTGTTTTGATGGGAGCTTTACTCATGGATGTGAGTGAGATTTATTGGTGGCACGATGATAAACTAATATGATAGCTAAGGGAACTCCTCAATAGTTAACAGTAGTTAGGTACTCCGTTTTTGAGCTTGAATAATTTGTATTAACGAAATTTTTGCACTCGTTATACTTAACGGGTCTGTATAGATAGATTTGTACGAAAATAAAAAGTTAAAGATAAAAACAATGTTTAAGAAACCCGACTTGAAAAAGTAAAAACTAAGATTGAAAACTAAAAAGGTAAAAATAACGAATATTGCTCATACATACTGATAGGTTACCCACCTACAGATAGGTTAGAAGTTGGAGCCACCATTCCGTAACAAAATGGAACTTAGGTAGGTAATTATCACAGATAGAATACAATGTAAACAGCTTAATCAATGAAGGTTTTAATGCATAATTTTGTTGAAATCTTGTTGAATCACCTAGAAATTAATTTACTGGTGCAATATTTTTCTTGCAACGTACTACTACGGCTACTGTTAAGTAGGACACAGGAAACGCAAGAAGACCGTGAAGTGACCATAACAGCAGTCCGAGCAAGGCAAGCCAGAGCTATTGTGTCCGAAACGCCAACCCAGCCAGTCTTGACTTAGGTACTATTCAGCGTTCTCTTACGGACGGTAGCTTCTCGGTCACAGGAGAGTTTAGATGAACGTGAAGCAAGATTGTCGGCTGACTGAGAACGTCATGCTCGTCTCACGTGGGCCGTTCGCTTCGGAGTCGCGTTTAAGTTCACAAAGAATTCTTGCTTCGACTTTGCGCTCTTCAGAAAGCAACGAGGAACGCGAAGCTAGGATCTAGGTATCGGCAGACCGAGAGCGTCATGCTCCTTACGTAAATCTGAAACTTTTACCAAAAGGAGTCTCGCTTAATATTATTTAATAAAGTTCATGGCCAGACATTATCCGTTGAGGGGCTAGACCTAAGTATTGGATGCTTTTACCATGGTCAGCTATACTTAGGTCTTTCACGCGTTATCAACCCTAATAACCATTTTGTGTAAGCTTCAAATGCCTTCATAGCTAATATCGTATATAAAGAAGCACTTGCATAAAAAATAAAATAAAATGAACTGCCGGTATCCTTCAATAGCGCTTTGCACTAAAAAATACATTGTTAGTTTTTATACATAAGACGTTTATACGTATTTCTGTTGTAGCACGATTTTGATGGATCTAAGAACACATCTAAAAGTTCGCTGTCGTAAACTTTTTCTTCTTCACTATTATAATTTAGGGCTTCACAAACACGACATAGATGATAAGATTTGGTCCCAAAATATCCGTGTTCATTGATAACTTCGAAATGATTTCTCCATGTATGCATCGAGAGAAGGAGATCGACGTTTGACGCAACAGCCTTTATATCTTTGGCTAGATTTTGAATAGCCGTGTCCGCATCAGCGAATATGTAAGAATTTGGTGGTAATAGGCTCTCAACATCTCCACGAGATGGTCCAAATATAACTGGTATTGCGCCTTTCGAGTACGCGTGGTGAAATACCTTCTCAGTCAAGTATTGATAACAACTCGTGTTTTCTAACACTAAGTAAAACAAGTATTCTGCAATTGGGTCACAATCTGATTTACCTCTAAAATGTCCAGGACAACTGAAAGAAAAGAATATTTCATTCAATATTTGTCTTATATGATCACATATACTTTAAGTACCTTTTTTTTGAGGGTGAAGAATCATCCAATGACTTCTCCCACCCGGGTGAGGCAAGAGGGAGTGTCAGACTCTTACTGACTAAAAACCACCCCGTTCCTACTCCTGCACTTCGAGCCGGAGCCCCGGCAACCCGTTAAGTCTTCCGCGGCTCCGTATTTGCATCAGCCCTTTTGGGCCCCATCTGTGGTGGTCTGATGGCTCCTTGAGGCGAGCACGGGTGACTCACCGTCCGCAAGCCCGAGCTTACGGTGGCCGGAGATCGTCTCACGATCTCCGACGCCCGGACCAGAGTCTGAGATCAGAATCTCGCGACGGCTGGGGCGTGAGGTGTTTCGTTCCCTCATGTGCTCTGCCTCCTCCTTAGCTAGCATGACTGCTTCGCAGAAGGAAGAGATGGCATCCCAGTCCCCCTCGCTCCGTACCTTATATAGTCTGAACCAGAGCTGTACGCAAGAGGTCGCCGTTGCCGATCACATTCCTGAGGACACGGCGGTGCTCAGCCTACGCAGGTCACACCGCCACCGTATGCTCCACTGAGTCCTCCGGGCGGGCAATACTCGTAGTATTCGTTTATCGGTTCATCCCATAAAAAAATGAATCTAAAACTTATTTACCTCGTCCGAAGCTCGTTCTTGTCGGAACATCTTCCATACACATCTACGTTGATGTACTTCCTTAATTCTTTTACGAAATCATTTCTTGCTTTTATCCCACAGTTGGACATCAGCACTGCAGCTGTTTTGTTTGCTCTTTTTCGATCCCAGTTTGGTATCAATGTGGTGAGTTCAGCCATCGTTTTATACTCACTTAATACCGGTTTTGGCAAAAGAACAGTTCGACCATAGGGTACCGGTATGTCAGAGTCGCTCCTGAAAAAATAAATAAAGGTACCTACCTATTATAACCAAGTTTAAGTAAATCTGCCTTTCTGAAGGCAATCACTATGATTATTTTAAAGACAGGTCCAGCCCATTTCATAGCAGCAAACAAAGCAGCATATAATTGTTATTCAAGTTTATTTAAAATTAAAAGCTATGTATATTTTTGTAAATAAATAATATTAAATAAAAATATTATTAAAATATTAAATAACTACCGATAAGTCATGGACCAATTGAATACACCGTATAGAGTTGTCCTGTCGGTAGCATGCCTGGCCATAGTGAACGTATGTCTTGGCGATTGGTCGCTCCAAAATATCCATCTTTGTTTCGGGTTTCTATTTTTCACTTTTGGTACCACTCCGTGTTGTAGGTGAACGAGAACTGCGTCCGCTGTATTCATGAGGGCGTCATCACCAGAAAATATGCAATTTTTGACGCTGCAACCGTCCAAAATATCCGCTTCTTTGCTGTGAAGATTACACGGTAACATCAGTTGTATATTAGGTTATTGTGCAATAATAATTCTAATTCTTTACCATCGATTAATGAACCGATCGCCACAAATGATTGCTGACATCAATCAAACATACATTTTTGAGCAGTTAGTAATGTTAATATTTTTTATTGTTGGCACAAATTTGTGTTTACAGTGTCTATAATAAGATTTAGCTAGTAGATGTCTGACTGAACTGAAACTAAATAAATGAATTCCCGTTTTGAGTCAAAAAATAAATGGTAGTATGCTCAATGCGGCGTGTTATCAGCCATATGAACTGTTTTAGTTTACACTTTAGATAGTAAACTGAGGGACGAGACTCCGCCACCTCCGGTGGTAGGTACTTCTATATCTCATAACATAATCTCAAAACATATTTCTCCCTAATGCGATATTGTACCATTGTGGTGCAGAGACAGCAACTAGAGTCTTTTTTTTTATACTTTATAGGTCGACGTTTGACCACCATCTCGCCTGATGGTAAGCGATGATGTGGCCAACGATGGAGCACGCCTGCCTATGAGCAACCTGTTCACTCGGGACTTGAAGACACCCAAGTCATATTTGACGAGAAACACAGCCTCTGGCAAGGAATTCCATTCCTTAGCGGTTCGCATGAGGAAGCTTGACGCGAAACGCTTCGTTCGAATGGGTGGAATGTCCACCATATAAGGGTGGCGTCCCGCCGTTCGTCTGGTGGTACGGTGGTGAAATGGACTAGGCGGAATAAGTTTAAATAATCTTTTCCAGGCCTATGTCCACAAGTATCTAAAAGGTACCTACATAAAAGAAAAACAAATCATAACGGTTCACATACCCTTTTTTCCCAAAGTTAAACATTTGACGCTCTTTCAACTGGTCCCAATATTTATAAACGAGCACGACGTATTGCTTTCCTGCATTAGAGTTTGGTATTGGGTCCCCATGAAATAATATTCCCCCCAATACAGAGGTGGGCCAGCTCTAAGCAACAAATAAATTAGTTATTAGTTACTCTTTAAAAATACTAGGTAGGTATCTACGATTAAACCGACATCAGAGATTGAATCCTTAACCTTTTCGCCGCCAACAACTTCTATAGAAGTTCAGGATTTTCGTGCCGTCCACGCCACTACTTCTATAGAAGTTCATTGTATCTACCTACTATAAAAAATACATTTACGATACATAAAACATTTGTTTCTTTGTAATTTTGTAATATGGACACGACGAACTATTTTTTCTCGTGCAAAACAGACTATTTTCTGTTTTAAAAAGGTAAAACATAAAAGGTTTCAAATAATTTTATATCCCGCACGCCAACGACTTCATATCAAGTAGGCCAGTGATGTGACGCGTAAGGAGCATTCATTAGAATCTTTATTTACTATAATATTTGTTTTCTTTTCCATCCAATAGTTTTTTGAATTCTATGAATAAAAAGAAATTCCGGTCAGTAAATAACGTATTACAATGCGTTTCAAAATTAATGTACATCTACCTATCAAATCATTTCATTAAAATTAATTATTATGTACTGAGGGTTTTCGATATTGCTAGACCCATCTCTACGTAATGGCAAGATGTCGAGTGACACTAGCGCCGTCAACTTCAATAGAAGTAAACCTGTGACGTCGTAAGCGCTTAGGCGTCAAGGTCATTGTGTCATAGTTCCGGGCGACGCGTGCACGCACATTTTTCTTTCCCAGTGCAGTGCAAAATGACCGAATATGATTCGGATGAGTTGTTGCGGCTGTTTGGGGTATGCGCAGTAGCGATTCTTAGTATAAAATCGCTACTGCGCATCCCCCTCTACTTTCGTCCAGCGCTCATAATTAATCGCACGGCCTATACCTATAATTATTTTCATGATTATGAAATATCCAAATGATTGAGTCATTTTGATTCGATTACAAACTGTTTGGGTCGCGAAAAATTTGTGATCGACTCAGGTCTATATTTGTTCGCCGACACAGCTAAAAGTTTGCGAAACCGAGAGCCGCAACGAATAGGTATTTTATGACTACCTAATATCCATCAAACGTGCCAGTTTTTCATTTGCATTAAATGAAAAATAAGCTATTAAAGTTTAGTACATCTGTATTAAAATAGTTACTTACCATCCATTTCCAAAACTACACATATGTTGCCACTTTTAATCACTACAAACAATGTTCCTGATCGTGACCTGACGTTAGATTTTAAATGTAAACTAAAACCAAAAGCAAACCAAACTCGATAGAAAGAAAGAAAAGCATAGACAACTATTCCTTACGAAATGTATCGTGCTTTGAACGCCAATGACTTGATATGAAGTAAACAGACTACGTTATGAAATGAATAGTGAAGTGGCTAATGTTACGAATTATTATTATTATCTCTAGCAACTCTATGCATGTATCTTCATCTCTGATAACGGATACCCATTTTTCTTAGTATAAATGTTCATAAAATAAAACAAATTACCATTATAACTTAACAGTTTGTATTTTTAATTGTAAATTTGAGTACCAATTTAAATTTACACATATTTTTTTTCATTATCGACATGATGTTACCGCCATCCCTACTTTCGTACTATACATTTATTATACATTTATACGTTGGCGTACGGCGACACATCGTGTTTAGTATAGCTGGGCGGCGAAAAGGTTAAATCCTTAATTAAAACCTATCTTTGGGGATTCTCAATCCTTGGTTTTATAGTCAAAATAATCACCCAATTAATACGCGTTTTTTTACGGAATAAGCCGGTAAATGAGTAGACGGATCTCCTGATAGTAAGCAATCGGCGCCGCCCATAGACACCCGGAACACCAGTAACAAGTGCGTTACCGGCCTTTTGGGGATTCGTACACGTAATTCCTACTTACCGAGCGAAGTGCAAATAAATTGAGGGCGTTTGAATCATGCACATGATACATAAGTCTTTCAGCCTCTGTATATCCAACAAAATGATATGCAAGGGGAACGATCACAGAAACACCAAATATGAACAATATGACAGTTTTATATGTAATTTTCCTTTTAAACATGTTGTGTTTAACTTAATTTCTTCCCGTCAAAGTCACACAGTACCTTTAATAATATTAATATGTCGTGTATACACTGATAATTATTATAATTTCACTCATAAAACTGCGCCTCTTTTTCTAAAACCACTAGTAGCTTGTATTCATTCTACATAAAATAAACATTAAAAAACACTTCTAGTGAAACATAAAATACACCATTAAAACAGGAAATAAAAAGGAACCACGTAATTACATAATATACCTATTGTGATACGATATTTTTAAACCTACATAAGTGCCTATGTTGATGAGGTGCATAAAAAATAATGTTACTTCCATTTTTCATTCATTTTGCTATTAAGCTCATGAAACATGTCATTGAAGCTTGAAGCTGCAAAATAACGATGGTTTTTGTTAAGGGGTAAAATCATCAAAAATGACTTCTCCCGCCTATGTGAGGCGGGTAACCTTTTACATTCTCCGGGGCTCCGAAATAACAACGGATGTGATTACAAAATAGTAACGGGTATTTATAAACAAGTTTATTCTATTGTAACATCAACTGCTGAAATATTTTAAACTTATTTTTATATTAACCTTCTAACATACAACAGAGATGATAGCAGTGCAGAATACATTTTATCAACATCAGTGTTACTCATCCCATGGATAACTGAAGATCCTGTTATAGCAATACGCGTTTTGACAAAGACCAAAAAACAACTAGGCTATTCTGTAAGATCTAAATTCAAACTTAGAACTGAGCACAATCGCATTCTCGCCCGTCATTGGTCGGGATTGTTCTTACAATCAACATGGCGAACCGCGATCAAGTTTACTTAGAGAGTTCGAATTGACATTTAACAGAATAGTCTCGTAGAGTACGTACCAACTCTCTGATAGGTGAACCTGAACCAGGTTTGCCATGCATTAAGATAAACCAGTTTACACAAAGCAACTTATAGTCCAGTGTTTAAAACTCTAAGGTAAATGAAACGCTTCTGCGCCTTCTGGTTATCATAAAGATATTTTTTTAAGGGGGTAATATCATCTAATGACAGCTCCCGCCTGGGTTAGGCGGGAGGGAGTGTCAGACTCTTACTGACTAAAAACTACCCCGTTCCTTCTCCTGCACGTCGAGCAGGAGCCCCGGTAACCATCATAAAGATAATAAGACCTCTGCTAAACAGTTTATAAAAAGTACTATAACTTCTTCTAGATCGGCCGTTTGGAAACACCCTACATTCATCGGCTTCTTGCGGCCTTGTATAAAATCGTTTTCGTTTGTAGCTGGGTAATCGTGGAAAAATATTATTAGTCATAATAATTATGATTCATATGTATTTATTGATTACATAATGGTTACAAAAAAGTAACGTACCTACCAATATGATTTCCGTATACTTACAATTCGGTCGGGTTGTCCTTACTTATTGCCATTTGCACTGATCGTGTTTAGACTACCACGTTAGAACGTCTCAATAAAGATTCCAAGTACCTACATACTCCTAGAAAAACATTCACTTAGGTACTCGGAAATTAAAACTGTAACTTCCTGATCGATATTCGTAGTTGTTACGATTAAATCAATAAGTTATAATAATACCGTAGAAAATTTTGACAATTTTAACTTTTATTTAATGGCTTTATCGTCATTAGGTAAGTACATAATAAAATGATTTAGGCACAAACCTATGTAATGTACCTAACACCCATTTTTCACCAGTTATTTCATGGGTCCCGTGTACTTGAGGGTGAGCCCATTACCATACCAGCCACTAATCCAGATTACGATTTAATATTGGTGTCTTTTTAACTGCAACATACTCATTTTGTAATAGTTTTTCCATCCCAAAAGTACCTACCTACCACTTTGCATTCACTTCGCACTCGTGTTGTGATTGTGACTAGGTACTCGATCAATGACGCAGTAAAACTTTTTAATTACCATATTATCGGCCAGCAACAGTCTGTTAATAGGTTCGATGTTCCTAGCCTACCTTGAGCTAACTGTTAAACCAACAGTTTTAATTTTAGTAAAGGTTTTATCACTATTGCAAGTTGATAAGCAGGTACCTAGGTATTACTTTGTATGTATCTTTCTTTACTTACATATGTAGTTTACGTAGACGTTGGCTTACTTACTTTCTTTTGAGGGAGGAAAATCATCCAATGACTTCTCCCGCCTTGGGTTAGGCGATAGAGAGTATCAGTCTCTTACGGACTAAAAATCACCCCAATCCCACCCATATTCTTCAAGCCGGAGTCCTGTCAATCCGTTAGGCCTTCCTACCTTTGGGGTACCTACTTGTCGCGGAGAACCTAACGGGTAACCGGGGCTCCGGCTCAACGTGCAGGAGACGGAACGGGGTGGTTTTTAGTCAGTAAGAGTCTGACACTCCCTACCGCCTCACCCAGGTGGGAGCAGTCATACGATGATTTTCCCCCCTTAAAAAAAAGGACTTACTCGGAACTCGGTCCCATCTGTGGTGGTCTGATGGGTCTTAGAGGCGCGCGCGGAATGCGACGCGCCATACGCACGCATCTCTTCCATAAATCATTATTATCATTACATAGGTACCTAAGTAAATAAAATTATAAACTACTGCATCGAAAAGACCGTAATTATTGATTGATAATTACGCGAGAATTAGCGTAACTAATAACGACGACGACCAGTGCCGTGACTATACCGTTCGAGGCCCGTGGCAAATACATCGGATGGACCCACTTTGCCTATTAAAACAGAGAAGTTCAGATACAAAGCTCTGGAAGGGGGCCCCCTTTCGAGTGGGGGTACCTACATAGTATTTTGCTGAAATACCATCCTGTACTTACGCCACTGTTAAAACGACACTGGAAAAAGCATAAAATCATAAAATCTGATTCAAGTTCAGATTTTGAACCTTCGTTGTACCAATTTTAACATTTCTTCGTTGAAAATCACGAAATATTCCATAAAAATTAGCACTATTTTAAGAAAGTGGAGGTAGAAAGAGAAAAGAAGATAAGTAGTCTATAATTTACTCCCCATCCCTTCATATTATTAGGTAAATTAATGGGATAATGATTATGGATCATTTTGTAAATAAAATAAATAAGTACATTTTGAAAACATGGAGCATACCTATTGGAAACATACAATAGCCTGGAGTCAAATTTTGCAAAAATAAGATTTTGTGTATGGTAAAGCATTTTTCTCAATTTAAAAAGCAAATACACATGCTTCAAATATCAATGATTAACATATTGTTGCACTTTTAGTTGCGCATTGTACATGATTTTACAAAAATAGCTAATACCTACAGTCATCGTCACGTATACGGTCATACATAACTATCACTAAGAAACAAATAAGCAACGTACGTACGTTTCAGTTGATTTTAAGTTTTATATTATATTGAATGTAAATAATGTGCAAAAAAAAATTATAAGAAACTGTAATCCGAATAACATTCCTGAAAATTTCTGAACGTTACAAATGACGACGGTATGAATTGACGTTTTGACGTTACTTATGTCAACTTACGTCATTTTCATCATGATGGAAAATTTTATAGCCAAAAGTCAAAACAAAGAGCAAGAGTATTTACATCGCACACGTTATAATGGATCAGTATTCACCGTAAAATTATAAATATTCTTAAGTACTGCAAAGTTAAAAAAAAATTGTAAAAGAGACCTTATTATTGCGGTAAGATACCTACTGTGTTGTTTATTATTAATTCAATTTAAAAAAACATCTGTTTTCATTCAAAAACATGCCATGCATATTATTGTTTTATGTTAAATCTGATTTATGTAATTAAAATAACTATTTCATTCATTTCATTCCATATCCTAAATATGTATATTAAATAAATATGAATCTATTTTTGTCATACGTACCTGAGTATTATTAACAGTCTGAACCAAACAAAAAAGCGTTTAATAAATTAATATAAACAACCATAAGAACTATTAACAACTACATATCCTAATATAATAGAGTATGTCCACTTTTAGTCATTATAAATGAGTCACCAGAAACATGTAGTTATTGTAAATAGTGATTTAATATCTATAGGTATGTATAGTACAGCAGTACTTGAACAACTTGTAACATCATGTACGTATCTTATTTTTACTGTACAATATTCTTAAATTCACAGAACTGAAAACAAAGCAAAAATTACTTTGACGAAATACAAATAAAGTTGATATTACTACTGTGTAAATTTTTTACTTTAAATCTAATTAATTTGAAATTATGATGCAATATGCTTCCTATATTAGTAAATTAGCAAGTTAAATACTTTATTCAAGCATGAAACGATGATGAGTCAGTATTTATCTACGTACAAAACTATTATTATGAGTGTAATATATCTTTTTTAATTTTAGGTAGTGAAGTAACCTGCTGTCAAACTGTCATAGCAGTTTGGTGGGTATATTTATTGTATTGTTTTGTATAAAACTAATAAAGGATTAATTACTATGATTATTAAAAAAACTGCTCATTGATAATTGGCCGAGTGTTCATAAGTGTAAGAAAATCAATGACGGTTGTGAGTACCAACCAAATTAAATCCAAAACTAACCCATAAATAAATATTTAAAGTGCAACAATCCTTATTTTAGATATAAATCATAATCATTGGATTGTTTCGTTAGCCGAGTTGTCACAAGTTGGGCTAAAATTTACTGGGTTTTCAAAAAAATCTCTGTAGTAATGCACAGAGTTTGGAATTGTGCCCCGTATATGGTTATAGGCTCACCCCTATTACATGGTACTTATAACATAACAATGAAAAGTTGGTGTCACATGCCGTTAAGTGCCATAATGTGCACCGCCTACCCCTTGAAATAAATATGTATATCTACAGTATGTTTCAATTTCAGGTAAAAATGGCAGCTAAACATTTGAGTATGATAAAAGAAGTGGAAAGTTTTGAAGTGCTTCCGGAAGCGGTAACATTGCCTGATGAAAGTGATCAAAATGTTGAGACTGCAGTCGAAGCAATGATGAAAGTGTCTCCAGTACAAATACAACAGGAATATTATGAAAATTTGGGTGATTGCGATTGGGTGAAGTAAGAAACTATTATGATTTTATTAGTAGATTTTAGTAATACATATTAAATTATTAGTAGTTATTTTTTAATGTTAGCGCTACTATTAAGAGCATAAGGGCTAAGCTGTCACATTTCTAAATCATATGTGACATGATTTAAAAATGGAAATATAATTAGGTAAGAGATGAGTATGAATAATAATTACTAAATAATTAATAACTGCTTAAGCAGTGACTGGTGACTGCTCTCCACTAACTCCATTAGAGACCATATTTTCAATGTTTAGAAACTACTTTTGTATAAACAAATTTTCGGTAGAAGCGAAGTGGAATACTTTAGGTGCGCTTCGTCTGGGTGCGCTTCATTTAGGTGCGCAAAGTGGAATGCCCCGTTGCGATGGGGTTATCAACATATTATTCCCAACCCAGTTATTTTTTATTTACTAACTAGCTTTTACCCGCGGCTTCGCTCGCGTCACAAAAGGATAAAAAGTAGCCTATGTGACATATACCAATACACACAGCGCCATCTATACCAATACTTTTGTTTTCCCTCGGGAATATCAAATTTTTTCGGGATAAAAAGTACCCTATTATTTAATCCAGACAACTTTACGTCTGCAAAAATTCAATGCAATCGGTTTAGTAGTTACGGCATGAAGTCGGAACAAACAAACAAACAAACAAACTCACTTTCCGATTTATAATATTAGTAAGGATATAGTAAGGATGGAAGTACTAACAAAAAATTACTTTTACTTTACTTGGGATGAAATTAAAAAAAATAAGTATTGACCAATTTATTTCAGATACGAGAAGAGCAATAGAAACTATTTGCTTCAAAATGTAGCATTTGCTCTTTTTGGAGGACCGAGCACTGAAGGAGAGTTGTCTGAAGTCATTGGAGATCAACACGCACACCTTGAAGGATACACCAGCAGGCAGAAAGAACAAGTTATGAGAGTCTATGAAAAATTGTGTGAACAAAGTAAGTTTCTTTTTTTAATTCAAATTCAATTTTTTTTTTTCAGATCAACATCCATATGTTTTAGTAGTAGCGCAACTTAATCTAGTGACATTATTGACTAGCTGTTGCCTGCGACTTCGTCCGCGTAGAATAATGACTTCTGGCCAAATTTAGGCTTTTGAATTAGTCTTATTCAAGGGATATTCTACGGTAACGAATGTCGTCAGAATTGATTCAGTACCTAGTATAGGGCTCCTCCCCCGTAAATGATAGCGTGATAATATGTAGCCTATATTTTGACCCGACCTTTTAGTATTATTCATGCAAAATTTGAAGTAAATCCATGCAGTAGGTACCTTTTGAGGTCATCCCAGATATACATACAGACAATCAGACAAAAATTCTAAAAACCATATTTTTGACTTCGGTATCGATTGTAGATCACGATCCAAGTATTCTTTTGTAAAAATATTCAATGTTCAAATTTGACTTTCGTACGATTTTGTTATATGTATATAGATTTAATTAAAATTAAGAGTTTAATGATAGGGTTTAATGTAGGGCGTGAAACAGACTAACCAATCACCCACTGAAAAGTAATCAACTTTTTGCCAGTTTTGTGTATACAATAGTAACACTCCGGTTGCCCCGGCCTATTCTCTCAAAGAAATATTTGTTGTGACTGTCACTTTATTATCATCGTCGCCAGCTGCTAGATATCCACTGCTAAACAATATTGATTGCACGGTGGCTGTCGCGGGTTCGATTCCCGCACGGAGCAACTCTTTGTGTGATCCACAAATTATTGTTTCGTGTCATACTGTCATGTATATGTTTGTAAACGCGCCCACGACACGGGAGAGATTCATAGTGTAGGCAACGTTTTCCAATAAAAAAAAATCAAATCCTTCAGTGTCAAAGCTGCTTAGGTACCTATTGTAGTTCGGTTACTAGTATTCTGCCCATTGCTCAGTGTCTGGTCCTTTGATGGTGTATTGCTAATTTTTAATTAATTATTATTTACAGGTAAATATTCATACAACGATGACGACATAGTTATGTCTGTGCTCCTTGTGGTGTGTGCTAAACCAAAACCTCTGAAGTTTTATGAGATTCAACCCGCAAACTATTGGTTGGACCTGCATGAGAGAACCGATAGTGACATATGGTGTACCGCAGTGTTCAGAGTCAGGAAATGTATACCTACTACCGTTGGAAGTAAGTATAACCATAACTTACAATTATAAAAACTGACGCTTTGTAACCGACTTAAAAAAAAGAAAAAGAAGGAGGTTCTTAGTCTTATCTATCTTACATACTGTATCAGAGACATTGTAGAACATACTTTTTTAAAAAAAGTAACGAATGGAGTTTCTTCCTCGTGCTTCTCCATTCGAATCTACATTTTGAAATGAGCACCTAGCTTCACCTAGCTTCACTGACGGACAGACTATTATTTATTTTGTATTTGTTGACGTTTCAAAAGTACCAAATTATGGTTTAATTTAAATAAATGCTTTGACTTTGTCTTTTTATGGTTGTGCGCAATTATATTGCGATTGACTGAAGCGATTTTAATGCGGTCAGAAAACAGTTTGTTACACTTTGGGAAAGATTATAGTATATGAATTAACCGACTTCAAAAAACAGAGAAGATGTTAAGTCGGTCATTTTTAACGTAGTTTATAAAAGAAATATTACTCGTGAATCAGAGCTGAGATGACTCGACTGATGAGGTAGTCATATACATATAATCTAGGTACAAGATTTACAAACCCTGTGTATATTAAAAAGTAAATAAGTAAATTATTTCCGTATTACCTACTGGCAGTTCTTTATCAAATGTGTTTATCGAATCTAAATTTTGTATAATTATAGGAATTATCATTTTATCATAAAGCAGTTCTGTCTGGGTTATTTCCTGTAACAAATTGTTCAATGCTCAATTTAAATAGGTCTATCTTTATGAGTTTTAGAAACAGGAATAATGAAATAGTAGGCACATACATATTTTTATAATTTTATTACAGTGAAATCATGCCGGGTTTACATAGATGAAAATGCGAGAGTTTACCACGACTGGGAATCGTATTTGACAAACAATACTTTGCCAAAATGTGTTATCATTGTACCTGAAAATGGAGAATATACTGGAACACTTCTAGAGGTGAGTTTAACCAGTAATGGTTATTTTCAGCATATTAAAATAATCAACTGGAATATACGACACGCAGCCGTAGATCAGACATCGATCAAATCGATCTGATTTGAAACTATTAGAGCTTTCCCCGATTAGTTCCCGCGAATACGCCGTACCTATACATATTTTTTTTAATGTTTCACAAAAAGCTATTAAATAAAATATAATATCTGGAAAATTTACTGACAATTGATCTAGTTACGACTGAGAATGAATCCACATAAAATACGAGAATATGCCAATTCGGATACTTAATTCTAGTTTCCCAATGTACCTACTTTCCGAGTTTCATAAGATCAGAAAGTCACCAGTTAAAAATGGTTAAAGAACTTCTCTGCATCTGTTTAGCTAGTAAATATCACTAATGACATTTTTTTCTATTTCAAGGGAGAAGAAACATTTGCTGTAAAGTTGACGGTAGCACCTTCACCAACATTGGGTATTAAGGCTCGAGTCCTCAGTTCAGTGGACACGGCCAGTACAGTGGCATCTATTGGCGCTATTGGAGTAATCGGTGTAGCAGCCTTCACGCCAGTAGCCCCCGTAGTACTCGCCGGCGCCGCAGTTGCTACTGTCGCCACTGGCGTTTATGGTCTCGTGCGCTCTTCCCTACATCTTCGTGATAGAAGCGCTCATGAACAAGTGAGTTTATAAACGATTAGTGAACATTTTCTGGCTGATGATTATTAATGATATCTCTCTAAAGACATCCTTAGATTAATATCGTTGTGGAATCCAAAACAGTGGTTTATGACTCTAAGATGCGTCGAACTTTAATGTTTTGGTGTCTTCATGGTTGTGTCTATCGTAGGTACTTACTGGCTTACAAGTTGCTACAGTTTTAGGAGCTTGTGTAACGATGATAGTTATAATAAAGAGTTGTTTTTGCAGACGATAAGTCCTACGGACGCGGAGGCGCGCGGTAGTTGGTTGAATATAGCCGCGTCGAGCGTTGGCCTGGCCGCGGGCGCCGCCAGCTCTCTGCTGTCACGCTCCGCCGCCGCCGGGACTAATATGACTAAGGTACATTGTATTACATGCGACTGCCACTTTAGGTACTAACGCTGAATTACTCAAATGTGACTCAAATTTAAGTCGCGCTTAGATATAGTTCTGTCACTACAAATTCTTTGTAAAATGACAGAGATGGCATGATATTATTTAAGTACAACTTAAAATTGAGTAGCCTTTTATTATTCAGGCGTTAGGTACATATTATTACTGCACGAGAACCTAACGAGTTACCGGGGCTCCGGCTCGACCTGCAGGAGAAGGAACGGGGTGGTTTTTAGTCAGTAAGAGTCTGACACTCCCTCCCGCCTCACCCAAGCGGGAGCAGTCATTCGATGAATTTCACCCCTTAAAAAAAAATTACTGTACAATCATTTTTTTTTTTGTTTTTAAGAAAAATAAGTTGCTCTTAAATGTAATAGAATTACAAATCAATGAAAGACCTTGGAGGTGCCAGTTCAACAAAAAATTGGTTCTCGAATGCAAATAGAGAATAGAACAGAATAGGGTAGATGCCTAATTTTTATTTCAACCTCCGTTTGGTAGATTATTTAAAAACATTAGACACGTATTTTTTACCGAAACGAATAGTTTCGAAGATATATTGATTTGAAATATCTCATGACGTCACTTTTGAGTACGATTTATACTCTAAAATGACGTAGTTACCTCCCACTCCTAAACTTTATTTCATTTTTTATCTCTATGTATTGCTTTTTATACGACAAAATAAAAAAATACGTGTCTAATATTTTTTCATTACCTAACTAACGGACTAATATTTTTTTTAATTTTCATACCCTGTCTCATCCCTATTGTTGATCATGTTTCTTCCATTAAACCTGCGCATTTTATAGTAGGTACTTTTACCTACAATTAGGTTCGCCATCTATATTTCTTTTTTCTGTAGACGGGACAAGCGCTGGCCGTATCAGTAGAAGTACTGCGTCACGCGAACATAGTTACCGGTGGTGCTGGAGTTGTCAACAGCTTGCTGCATATAGTACTGAAGGTAAAATCTATTTTTATTTATAAGTACACAATCTAATCTATAGTTCTTTAGCAATTACGACAACGAACCATTTGTCAAAATCCATTGCTGGACTATGGGTCTCTGATCAGTTTAAAAGGCTCTATTGGCACCACATGGCTTAAAAAATATTTTTTAGGTTACACGATTCAGGCCTACGGTCCACGACGCGTCATTTGTGCCGTCGATTCATCGAATACATGCACCGTACAAATAACGATAGGTGGATTTGTAAATGAAGCCAGTGACGCAACGTTGCCGCTCTGTGGACACAGTTTTGATTGTTTATACGTAAGATCCAAGCATTTGCCCGAGGGCTTTGTACGAGTTCGTTCTATGTTTAAACTAATAGAAACGAGGATACGTTCGGCGCTCTGATTGATTGGTTCCTTAGAGCCGGCCAATCAGAGCGCCGAGCGGTAATCGGTAATCTGGTAATCGTCAGTTGACGAAACCGTTCGTATAATTTGCGGTTAAGTGGTCAATGGGCAGACTTTTTAACGTATGTCAGAACTGTACCTAGACTTCAAACAAAATTGTACTAGAAATTACTAAAAACTATTCAATGATAAAATATTAAGTAATTTAATTTATTTGTGCTAACCACCGAAACCACACTTCTTAAAATATGGAGATTAAAACAACTCTTTGTTGATTAATAATAATTATTGTTTTATTATTATTTCAGTATCGCAAGCACGGAGAGAAACCGACGAAGCTGGAGCTCTTCCAGTTCGCGTCTGCAACGTTATTCTTCTGTCACGCTGTGGTATCTAACCGTACAGCTCAAAGTATCATTGAAGATGCCCAGGCGAAAACTATCAACGAATACCGAGCCACGCTTAGGAGTAATAGGCACAGGTCAGTCAACTTTGTTCTTATTAAAGCTAATTATTAGCAGAATCGACTATAACAATACACTTTAAGGTTGAATGTCGAGCATGCATATGAACATAACTGATGATAAGTGGATGTTACATTGAACAAGTGCACCTATGTCTACCCCAATAGGATTTAAAATACCTGACGTTACATTTATCATAAAAAGTGTGTATAATAAGTATATTCACATCATTTTTTGCAGGAAAATGTTCGACAAAATTAGCGCTGAATCTAGGAGAATACAAGGCGCCGTACAAGGCAACACAGAAGTCATTAAAGGCATACAGAACATCTTCGACAAGGACCAGTACTTCGCTGACGTACTCAGAATAAACAAAGATGTAAACCAACACAAGCTTAGAATATCCATGACATCTGATGGCCAAGTCAACTTGAACTCTCAACATAAATTCAATCCTTCAGAGTTGTACAATCTGGGTAAGGAAGGTAGGGCTCAACTGTTCAGTTCTCTGGGACCTGCTTCACTGACTACTAATAATGTGCCGACACGTGTAGTTCCATCGACTAACGCAGTCACGGGCTATGTTGAAGGCGAGGAAGAAGGCACTTTAGTTGGCATCCACCCTGGAGAAATACTAAGAATCGGTTCTCTCCTTGTTCGAGTTAGTGCTTCAGGCGCCGAGAATGTGGCTCTCATGCTAGAAAACCTCAGTCAAGATGTCTACGCCAATCTCATGACAATATCATTCAATGTCTTATCCAAACTTGTCCCAGAAGACATCGCCAGACTTAGACTACTGAGCCCTGAAGAGGACTTGATAGTCCAAATTGTTAAATTCGTATTTAATTATATGAAACACCAAAGACCGTTCGGTGACCCGAGCAGAGACAACGACAATGGTATTGTTATAGTTTTAAAAGAATTCTTCCAAGAAGGCGTTGTGCGCCAAGAAACAATATTGTATTTGAAAGATCGTCTGCTCGGCTGGGTCGACAGTGAAATGGATCGAAGGTCATTGGAATTTCCGAATAAAAAGTCAATAGTTTGTGAAACTTGTAGGGGTATCAGGTATATATAGACATATTCTTAGTTCTACATAAATTCACGTTTATCATCGATTATTGGTTTGTCAACACAATTACTAGTAAAGTTTAATCTGCAGCACGGGTGCTTGGTTAACCTCAATAATGTAGGGAAAGGGTTTCACAGGACAAAACTGTGAAATCTATTTTGTTTTCGTCTCACGGCAAAACTACTTACCATGAGGACTACTCTCGATCCATAAATGAAAAAGTAAAAAATGTAAAACGTCATATCTTTTTAATTTTAAAAAGTATTCATCGATTTATGAACATGAGACACTAGATGTAAGATGGGCAGTGGGCACTATTTGTATCGCAAATGCCACCCGACGAAATACCTCTTTGAGAATCACATGGCGTAATGTTTTGATAACATACTATGATTCGTAACTTCGTAAGCGCTTTCGAAGTTTGCTTTTTTGCAATGGTTCACCAGTTATTTTTTGTTTTAAACATTTGATTTCTTTGTAAAGCCATTTTATTACTGAGACAGAACCATTTTACTTCGGGACGAAATCGATATAAATTCTACGGTGTATTTATATGCAGTAGACAATGATCACTAAAGCACTGGGCGCGTCTGGACGTAGCCAGTAGTCACCGATTTAAGCATTATGGGTATCACCGGTAACCGATAATACCCGAAGATTTACCTTTAACATTTTCTATTGGCTGTCAAAGATTTATCATTGTTAGTTAAAGGACCGCTTACGAAACGTAGGTAATTATGAAGAAAGTTTTGTCTTTAATCTCACTTTGCTTAATTGGCTTATAGAACGTTAGTAACAAATAAAATTATTATGACTATCATAAAATATCTTAAAAATATAATGGCAATTTCGATTCTAAAGCCTTAATACTAAGGTACAAATCACCGTTTAGACCATTAGTCTGCAAGGATTGTAACAGAAACATATCAAAAACGTCTATACATATATTTATCTAAATTATAGTATTTGATAATGAGGCTTTTTGGAAATATATTTATGATATTAATATTCCTATAATGTTTGAGATATTTATAATATACACACGTGATAGAAATAAGCACTGTGATATCGAATAACTGATTATTTTTTAGGTTTTAATAATATTGCACAAGGAACAGTGCCTTCTAACATGTACCTGTAGAAAATGTTTCCATAGATATTTAGATTTATTATGTACGTAGCATTAGATAATATATTCTTGAATGTATTTAAGTTTCTGTATATGCTTTGTTATAAGTAATAAATATATCTCTTGTCTGTGTATATCTTTCTCTAATATAGAGGATTTTTTTCTACCCAAATTGCCCCAAGTATATCATCGTTTTTATATGGCTAAATACTATCACGTCACCTAAATACTATGTCCATTTAACTCCCGAATTATTGGTCTAAAATGGGTAATTCTTTTTTCACGACTTTAATGCTAGCACAAGGTTTCTATAAAATAAAAAATCGATGACGAAATAGGATGCTATTTCCCGAAAGGAGTTTGCAAAGAAGTTTGCATACCTGTGGCGGGATGCTAGTTTAAGTCAAAGTCAAAGTCAAAATCATTTATTTCAATTAGGCCAGAATGGCACTTTTGAACGTCAACAAAAACAAAAATTTAAAGTGAAGCTATTTGCTCATTCCAAGGCGTAGATTCCTATGGAGAAGAACGAGCAAGAAACTCCATAGGTTACTCTTTTTCAATCAGGTTCACAATACAATTTACTAGTTACATAGTTTTGCTGTTTGGATTGTGCGAGAACAATGTAACACTAAAATCCAGTCAAAGTGATCAAAAAAGAAAATAACCTTAAGGACAGTAATACAGTCTGGAGCTGACCAGTCCCAGTTGACGGCGCCCGTTCACGAACATGACACGTACACCAGCACCGCCCAACTCAACCATATTGTAGGGAATCGAGCGATCCACTGCACGCGCCACCGCCAATGAGACCTTTGAGTGAGCATGACAACTCCAAGCTGACACAAATGAAATCTACTAATCTAATTTAATATTAAGTTAATTACAGGGCTCTCACATTTACAATGGTTATCTAAGTTAAACAATATACAATTTAGCAATATGGCTGTATTATTTACGATTTCATTAAAACAAGTGTTTTTAGTTATCCTGTGGAGCCGGACTAGCCCGCATCCAAGCATTTTTATCCTCTATATATTCATTAAGTTTGTAATATGCTTGTCTACATAAAGTTTTCTTTATACATAATTTAAATTTCGATTCATTTAGTTGTTGTACATCGCCTGGTATCTTATTATAACATTTAACACAGAATCCCATGAACGACTTACTTACTTTCGCTAATCTCGAAATTGGCTGACTTAATCTATTCTTATGTCTAGTTTGATAGTGGTGTCTGTCCGACACTTTACCAAATAACTGTAGGTTTTTCCTAACATACATAATGTTTTCATAAATAAATTGACATGGAACGGTCATAATGTTGATCTCCTTAAACCTTTCTCTGAGTGATTCGCGACGACCTAGATTGTAGATAGCTCTGACGGCGCGCTTTTGTAAGATAAAGATAGATTCAATGTCAGCAGCGTGTCCCCACAGCAAGATGCCATACGACATAATGCTATGAAAGTAACTGAAATACACTAGTCTTGCCGTGTCTATGCCAGTTAATTGTCGTATCTTCCAGACAGCATACGCTGCAGAGCTCAATCGTCCCGCTAATGATGTAATGTGAGGACCCCATTGCAATTTGTCGTCTACAGTAATTCCCAGGAAAGTTGTCTCTTTTACAAACTCTAATTTCTCACCATTCAATAATATGTCAAATCGTTGCTTTTAACATTTGGCAAAACAAATTTAATACATTTTGTTTTTTATTGTTTAGTACTAAGTTATTTAATGTAAACCAATTATGAACTTTCATTAGGGCATTATTTACGTCGTCATAACTATTTGTGCGTCTATTAATTTTAAAAACTAATGAAGTGTCATCAGCAAATAATACCATCTGCGGTTCATTTTTAAATAAATGGGGCAAGTCATTTATGTACGCTAAAAATAAGAATGGACCTAGTATCGAGCCCTGCGGTACACCCATAGATATGCTAGCACCCTGTGAATTTACTTTATTTACTTGTACTTTAAGTTGCCTATCCTGAAGGTATGATTTCAACAGATTTAGCGTGTCTGTGTGTTACTCCCGCGTCAGTAGTGCAGCGACTTTTGGTGAATCCGTATTGTTGATCATGAAAAATAGAATTCATGTTAAAGTGACGCAACATCTGAGAAAGCATCAGCCTTTCAAACACTTTGCTGAGCGCTGGCAAAATAGAGACCGGCCTATAGTTATTGGGTTCTGCACTATCACCGGATTTAAACAATGGAACTACTTTACTATGTTTCATTAAATCCGGGAAAACTCCGTGATCTACACTTTTATTAAAAATAAACGCTAAATGAGGCGCTATAGTCTCTATAAAAGATCTACACACTCTAACAGACATGCCCAGAGATCTTCAGTAGACTTAACTTTGATCTCTTTGAACGCTTTAATTACTGCTTGGGGGTTTGTGTATTGAAATCGAAACTCAGAAAGGCACTCATTGATATTACTTTTAAGAAGTTCAACGGAAAGAGTCGGAGATGATTTCAATGCTTCCGTAGTTTTAATCGGAATATTTTTAAAATAAAACGGAGTAATATTTTTACAAAATTGTTGTATTCGTACAAAATTAGATCTGTAGTTTTATGTTTCTGTAAGGGCATTATTTATTGTGGCATTGCTCTCATTAGATTCTCTTTCTCACGTTCCTCGGCTGTCGCCGGAGGGTTATACTCGAAAAATTTCGCAATAAAATACCTGTAACAAATTAAATTTTACAAAGTTGTACTAAAATAAATAAATGTGAACCGATAAATCAAAAGAAGCCGCTGGATGTTGATTGGCTAATCTTATAAATCATTGAGATAGCTAATGACTACGCTCAGCAGTTAAAGCATTGTAACTGATATGATGATGATGATGATGAAGAAAAGCTCAACACTGCAGTGACTAATGACGTTGACGTTGATTATGAAGTCACGTACCATACTAGTATTTCGACGGTGATGAGCAGAGCAGCGGCGGCAGTTTGTACGGCGACCCGCGCGGGTTCGGCGGAGCCACGCAACACGGCAGCAAGCATGGCATCACTGGCATCCGATGCAGTCTCTAATGCAGCAACCAGCAGCGCTGGGGCAGCCAGCCACCGAGCACCACGACGCCACCAAGATTGCTGCGAAAAAATGTTCGCCAAAATCAAATTGTAGTAACTATCAAAAGAAAGAAATGAAAGAAAGTAAAACAGTTTATTTAGGTACCTACGTGTGTCGTTGTGACAGAAAAATACTTAAAAGCTAATATAGTAACAGTGTCGTCTCGTCACGGCGCAAAATGGCCAAAGCCCAGCATAAATACTGTGGCCAGGGCAGCATAATTTGCGGTTTGACAAATACGGTTCTACCTTGGCTTTGTCCTCGATTGTGTCACGGATTTCGATTAAACCTCCCGAAAATTTTTTCATCATTTTCATAGTACCTAATAGTCTCGTTGAAAGTTTCGAGCAAGGGCGGATCAGTCAATATGAGTTATTATAAGCCTTATTCAGGTATAAGAAATACCTACTTAATATTAAAAGGACTCATTCGACCGGGAAAGATAAATATTAAATCAGTGTTTGGGACCTTAGACGTCCTAACCTTGTCCTGAACTAATACGGATATAACAAACTTACTTTAGACATTACAGCCACCAGTAAAAGCAATGAGGTTGTTGCGGTGACAAACGCACTGAGTTTCCCATAACCCATCACTAGTCGAATTGTTGGCTTAGTAATTCTGGAATGAAACAATCACTTTATACAACATCGGCTAGTAAAAAAATCGTTATTAAGTCGATTATAAAGGACTAGCTTTTACCCGCGGCTTCGCTCGCGTCACAAAAGGATAAAAAGTAGCCTATATGACATATACCAATACACACAGCGCCATCTATACCAATAATTTCGTTTTCCCTCGAGAATATCAAATTTTTCCGGGATAAAAAGTACCCTATTATTTAATCCAGAGTTCTAACTTTACGTCTGCAAAAATTCAGAGCAATCGGTTTAGTAGTTACGGCGTGAAAGCGGAACAAACAAACAAACTCACTTTCCGATTTATAATATTAGTAAGGATTACCGTCTAGCAAAGCTGACGTTGTTAAGTTTCTGTGCGACATCGTCGTCGTCCAGCTCTAGTTCGACGGGTTGGGACGCGAAAGCGCATGCCGACATGGACACCCCAAGAAGCGCTACCAACAATGCTCGCAATTTTATTTTAATGCCGTCCGAATTCTCATGGCTGACGTGATTCAACTGCAAAATTAAAGGGAACGCTTGTCAATGGTATTTCTTCTACAAATAGGTAGACTACAAATTGGCATGGTAAACCTATCTACTTCATAAAAAAACTAGTATTTCATGCAGTCACTCCACACGTGTAAGTCATGTAAAGTGTGAGTAATTTCCGTCACCCTTTTTATTCCAGCGGAAGAGCCGCCTAAGGTAAGGATTACCTACAACTAAAACAAACCGGGCAGAGCTTTCTGGGAACCTAAACCTTTTCTCCTGGAATACCCGCCCGCCAACCGTAAAGAATATACCAAGCAAATCCTCTCATGTACCTACATAAGGTATGAGCCTTATGCTGGAGTATGGAGTCTAGCAGAGTGCTTAATATGATCGTAACATACTTCGTGACTATTTGGTGAAGTAGGTACGCCGCTTAAATTTATTACATTACATGCATTGCTTATACTTACGACATTCGCGTGATTCTCATGTTTGAGCCGAAGCTGATTCAAGAAAGTATTACTCTCCGTTTCCATGTTGGTTCATTTCAACTACCATAAATCGTCATGGTAGCGGTAGTGGATAAACTATAATAATATACATTCCATGAGTAACCACACGAATTTTCACTTAAAATGTAGAATATTAAACGTTATTACATAATGTAGCACATTTAAAGGTATGAATAGGTAATGACAGATAACGTCTGATATATTCATTGCCATTGTCAATGTCGAAATTAATTATTTTTAAAACCAGTCACCATTCATAAAACAATTAACGGCTTGTGCGAGGCCACAGCTGGGCTATGGACCTTCTATACAAAAAAGGGATTGGTCTCCAACCCGCTTGGAGGTTTCCACTTGTGGTAAGCGGGTTGGAGATCACAGATTCAATGTATGAAGTTTATCATACACTGCCCGGCCTCTGTTACCTAAATATATCTATGTAGTTGTAGACCCTCTGGACTCACGATACAGGTGTGGGAGAGCCTTGTTTCGGCACGAATGGGTCGGCTCGACCGGAGTGATACCACTGCCTCACAGAAAACCGACGTGAAGCAACGCTTGCGTGGTGTTTCATCGTGTGAGTGAGGTTACCGGAGGCTTCCCTCTCCTCCAATCTCCCCAATTCCTGAATCCCCAACGATCTTCAAATTCCTAATCCCCAAAAGGCCGGGAACACACTTGTAACGCCTCTGGTGTTCCAGGTATCCATGGGCGACGACGATTGATTACCATCAGGTGATCCGTCAACTTGTTTACCGGCTTATGCCATAAATTAAATATACAGGTAAAAATCATAGTGTGGTGTAACGTTAAAAATTAAACATTTTAAAAGGGCTCCAATTATTGTGTGCGGAAGGACCCCAGCGCAGTATAGACTGCGACGGCCCTGGTGGTGGCACATGTATTTTACTTTGCTATCACCACGCGAATTAAAATCGAAATGTCAAAGTATTCAGCAGTGAGTTATTAACAGAAACACAAGCATATTTCACATTTACATATTTATTAAGATCGAAATTATAAGTCGCAAATACACAGATACTTTCGGAATACACAAAATTCTTGCAGCCAGTTGAAGGCCATCAACATTATAGCGGGAATTTTATGGGTCAGTTTGCCGATAGCTTTAGCATTAATCGGAACAAACAGTAGAAGAGCATTCAGGATTTTGATAGCAACCATAACCATTTGACCTGCTAAATGTGGAATGAATAAAGACGGATTTTCCTGCAAAAAGATAAATGGTAAAGTTAAAATGATCATGCCATGTTTAACTTACGTAGGGGTGTATATCAAAGGATTCTAAGCTACTTACTTAGGTATATTTTATAGACATAAGTAGAGTAGCAAATTAAAGTAGATAGTTCCTAATGCCAAAAGATGACAGACAAGTACGAACAGATTTCGTCATTGGTGCTTACCAAGTCTTACGAAATTACTTTAGCAAAAAAACTTACAGTGAAACATCCTACTAACAGACAGGCGTACTGCACCAGCCCCATTGACGTTGCGATGATCTTTAAGTCATGGAGCAACATGAAGTTACTATCATCTCTTACTGTGTCCGGTGATACTGGAGGGTGCTCACCTAAGTGCTTCCTCAAATGATTTGCACTTAGCAACTGCAAGAAAAACCGTTTTGAATACGATGATTATAAGTTCCAAGTAACGCTGAGCATCCAATCTTGCAATTCGTTTAAGATAGCAGAACTACATGCTCAAATAACTCAGGTACATAATATTTGGGAAGCTGATGAATAAAACAAAAATCGTCAAATAGACTATGGAATACCTATTGCATCGTTGCACGTAAGCTACTTTTTATCATTGGAAAGTGTATGGTTCATATGTACTTATTATATTGCACAGTTTGCGGCCATAGTATTAATTCTTCGTGAGCAATTTAGGACCATCTACGTCCGCGATTTAGGAGTAATGGACCGAAAAAGTAGGAAGATACTGAACAAGATAAGAATATGTCAAAGAATATATTTATAACTTACAAAACCTAGTACGCCATACGAGTAAGTGTACAAAATGCTCATACAGAATGTAGGATGATGACAGAATATCCTAGTTCGTCCAAGGTGAGGTTTTAACATAGGAGCCAAAACTTGGTTAAACGGTAGCTTCATTGTGGATGTCTGTAGTCCAAAAGTGGATTTATTTGCATTATTAACATTATTTTTGAAACACTATAGTTAATTTACGTGCACATATTAAACTTTAAATGTCACATTTCAAAAGATATATTTAATTTCTTTTTATTTTGATATGTTTTTATGTAAGGTGGCTTAATTTTAGTATAAGACTCCTTAGTCCTTGTATCATATGGGTATCAAAGAGTACCAAGGACTTTGAAAAATTCAACGTTCTTGATGGGTACGTTAGTGGTACGTTACGACCACTGATATGATAAGACTAATCTATGGTACGACGTCGATGTTTTTGTATTCCTTCATTCCGTCTGTAAAGGCCACATTAAGGCCACATTTCGTTACAACCGGCAACGGCTATTTTTTCAAATATTTTGGCATAACCATCTAGTCATCTATGAAGAAATTGATAGTAATAGCAAGAAAGAAGAAAATTGCCTTCGGGTTCGATTCCAGGGTCGGGCAAAGTACAAGTGAATTTAAAAAAAAATCTCAGTGGTAGCACGAAGTCTAGAATTTTGTATATGGCAATAGGCTCACCCCCTATTACATGTGACTCATACATAATGACAAGTGGGTGTTACGTTACACAATGGCATTAAGTGCCGTAATTTGCACCTCTGCCTACCCCTATGGGGATAAAAGGCGTAATGCTATGTAAAATCGTTCATTTTGGAAGTTTTCTCACTTCTGCTAGAAAAAATATGAACAGTAATACGATTCCTACCCGTCATAGCCTCTGTTCGAACGAAAATTTTATACAATCTTAATTTGATAAAAGGATGACTGGCAAACATGGGATGTCATTCTTGAATAGACAAAAGGTACTTGCTAAGTTGCGTCTACAAAATTTACGTGCATACCTAATTATTGACAACTAGTACGCTAACATGGCTGCCCTTATTAATTCCTACTTGGCAACGACAGCTATTTACTTCATTACTTCGTGGTATGCAAAGTCCAGAGATGTCAATTACAAACTTTGGTGATGATATTGTGATATTGTTAATTGACTTGAGTGCTAACTTTATTTTGAACAATTTTATTAGAATCAATATCGATAGTATTTTAAAAACGGATAAATGCTGATGGCATATCATAATGGTCGCTGGAGCTCTGTTACTGTTTATTCCTGCACCGGGCCCCTATTCCTATTCAATTTATTACCCTAATTATGATTGTAACATTATCCTATACCTAGTTATATGTCGCGGAGAACCTAACGTATAACCGGGGCTCCGGCTCGACGTGCAGGAGAAGGAACGGGGTGGTTTTTAGTCAGTAAAAGTCTGACACTCCCTCCCGCCTCACCCAGGCGGGAGCAGTAATTCGATGATTTTCCCCCCTTAAAAAAACCTAGTTATATTGTAAGTAGCCATTAAAGGTCTATTTTAGTTAATTCTATTTTAGGTACTACATTGCTAAATGAAATATATTATTAAATAAATTAAAAACTATTAGATACCATGACAAGCAGAGGTAGGCATTTTTGTTAGGTGCGACGAGTAGATTTAAAAACACAAACCAATCCCCCTATTCGTCACCAGGGGTGAGTTATGGGAAATTATTCAAATAATATTTCCACTCTTCACCGGAGGAGACAAACTTAAAAGTGACGAGCGGGGGGATGACCGGCTTAACTATCCCTTTGGGGCCCGTGGAAAATTCATCGGGTGGGCTCCAGTTTCCAATAAAAAACGAGGTTTAGATGAAAATCTCTGAATGGGGGGAATGGCGTGACCCTGCAGTTACGCCACTGATGGCAGGTTTAAGCTGTTGGCATTGTCTGCAAGAACAGTCCGGGTTTGTTTATGTTTGGGTAAATACTCAAGCAGTCCGTACACTTAGAGCAGGCCTAAAGGTGATAAAAGGTGTAATGATATGTAAGGATATCATGGATGGAAGATAAAAGTAAACAAAACGATTAATATTTACACAAGAACATTTTAATACTAAAATTGTCCAAATTTCCAGTAAGTACATTCTTCTATATTAGCCGAGTAAAACAAATGGAAACAAAAAAAACAAGAAATAGAAGAATATTAACAAAAATGAGCGTAAATGTGAAATTATAACTAAAGAATATAAATATTGTCGCAAAAATTGTCTTCCTTATACATATCGGAGCACTGCGTAAAGAGAGTATTTTGAATGGCGAATTTGGGAGGCATACGTTGACAACCGGCCGCAATTAAATGTCCTAAAAATCGGTGCAGTCTTGAAGATGCTGCCACAAACTTACCATCAGGATCAATAGTGAGAAGTTGTGCACCGTTGTTACCAGTTTTTACATTTTTGGTATGTCTATTATCAGGAAAACTCAAATCAGGTAAAATAAACGAAGGACCGACATCAGAAATTACAGAAAAGTCATAGAACAGAACCACCTGAGCGGTATCAGACTTATTTAACATATCTGGTTGTATTTCTGATCTATTAAATCCATCCGTGTTATTCATAATGCCATTTATTTTCATGGTATCATTCCCTTGCAAGGCCTTAATGGACTCATTAAGTTTTAATGTGTCGGGGTTTGTTAAAGTTTTATATTCACTCTTTTTCAATTCGGTATCATTCTTCGCATTCATAACTTCGACAAAAACATTCGAAACACCTTCAGATTTATTTTGTTTATTATCAAGAGAAGCTGAAGCAGAAACATCCCGTTTGTTCCTACTCGTACGAATCAAAGCTTCATTAGGAGAGCCAGTTTTTTCAGGAATCGTGATTTGAGGATAAGCAAAAAAGTTAGTTATAGATGTCCTGGTATCGTTCAAAAGCTGATGTATTAATGCATAAAACACGGTACAAAACTCGTTTTCTTCACGATCGATTTTATTCAAAGCAGTTTTATATTCTTCAACGTTGATACCATCATTATGTTGTTTCAATATGGCAGCAATTCTACGATCTTCGTGTTGACGACTATTAAAATTGTTATTAAATGTATTCAAATCCATGGCGACTCCTCCACTTTGCCAGACTGAGAAAACTCTCGCATAGAAAAGTAGATATGGGAGAGGTATAGACCTCCATTTGTATTTCAGAGCTGTCATTGACATGTACTTGCTCAGAGACATTATGGTAATATTGACATTTTGGTGTCTTTTTTCAAAATCTTCAATTTTTCTCTTAATGTCATCTCTTACTTTTGGGTAAGAGAACGGAGGGATGCTCCCAGAGTACGGAAGCAATTCATTTATAAATCTGGGATGCCTCGGGCCTCTAAATGTAGTTTGTAAAGAGTCGTCGTTAAGGAAGTATAGGTGGAAATGTAGTTCAGGGTACTGTGTGGCCATGCTTGCGATATACTCTTCGTATACTACGAAAGGAGTAAATCCACCTCGTGGCACAATGTGATGATAGAAGACATCACTTCCTGGCTTCGAAGAATTGCATTTAATTATCAATACGGGTTGCCTTCGATACGCCTCCATACCCAGCGCATAAAATACAAGGAAGGATATGCCCAACAATATCAGAGTCATCCAACACGCCGAGATGTACTCTGAAACATGAATTTCTAGTTAAAGATTGCAGATGTCGCTTTACAAGTTAAAAATGAGTTCTTTTTCCCTAACCATGTACTAAAGTGTAACAAAAAATAAAATTGTAACGACAATTTGGAAAATTAGTGTTACAAATTACTTTAATGGTGTTCCGGTCAATGGCAAGTTAATGTAGTCGATTTAGTAGCTAAGCCCAGTTGTAACGTGAAAAAGTAAATATTGAAATAATTGTGAAGTGATGTTTATTAATTGGCCAAAAATCGCAGGACTGAACAACTACCAAACACGAGGTCTAAGGTACAAAAAAAACTACATTTATAATGTTCACAATTAGGTACTATACTACTGGCCTGTTATCACACGAAAAAGTAATATTATGTAGCTTTATAATCTTAGTAAGTTGCTAACCAGGCCAGCGGACAAGCCAGGATTGTTTCGGAGCGCAGGTGACTCCCCAGCCTGGAGTGACGAGTGTCGGGGTAGGCTGTATCCCGCCATCACCACCGCCTGTGTCTGCCTTCAACAGGGGATACTGTTCGTCTTGTTTTGTCGGTGGAGCGCGCTCCACCATTATAGTGTTTTTCTGTAAATCATTAGTTCTGTGATTTTTATTGAAATTTCTATGTTTGGGGTTTCTTGAAGGTGCCTAGGTACCTACTGAACTACTGATCGTGATAATAAGGGTATGCCAATAATAGAACTAAAATCATTTAACGTCAGATATATCAGTACATTAATAGCCCGCAGGTATCCACTGCAGAACTATGAGCCTCCTCAACAAAAAAGGGATTTGCCTGATAGATCAATAAACCCAATTTCAAGAGTTATTATTATATCGACTCTCGATAAAGCAAAGGTTACCCACTTACCTTATTTTGCGCTACGGAAAATTAGCAACTTTATTATATAATATTTTGATTTAAAACTCCAATTTATCAACGTATGTGAAAAATTGAAACCGGGAGAACGACATTTGCAACAAATTTTGTAGACATTCCAATTTTAAAATAAATGTCAGCCATTTTTTTTATTTTGTCAATTACCTCATAGATAGAAAGAAGGTTTTATGTGGCTCAATCCTGCCTGTTAAAATCAAGGGTTAATATGTTATTTATTTTACTCCAATTTAAAGTACTCCTTTACGTAGCAGCGTAAGATGTAGCTAATGCTGTAAATGTAATTATTTTTCACTGCCTCAATGATTTAGTGAATTCTGCTCATACCCATCACTAGGCTACTGGTTCGGTCCTGGATCATACAACAAATAGAAATGTGTCTGTTTTCATGTACATAACAATATCCACTACGTAATATAACAAATAAGCAATTATAATGTCGTAACGAGACATTCATTGTACACAAACAATAACATAAGATAACAAATACAATGTCACTTATACAAATTCACCTTCACAAGTGCGAAGTCGGCAAAATTCAGTAACAATTGTAACTGCAAGACGTTTGTACGTGAGACGAATGCGATGTTGAATCAACAGAATTATGGTGGAAAATGTAAACGTGCGGTGGTCACATATTATATACGAACTTACGTGCATTTTCATTTAAACGTTACTCATCGAGTGTTAGAACCTAACGCGACCTAATAATTTTATTCTGTGTTCATTAACAATAAATATTTAGTTGAAAACTGTTAGCAATACAGTAAAAGTGATACGGTAACATATGGCGGTACGTGTTTTCATTTGATAACATAATATTTATTTATAAACTCTACTTTGTTATGAAAACTAAAAAGATTCAGTTTTCATTTTTGAACTCATAAATTATTAAGTACCTATGTGTTAATCCCAAAGAAGGGTTGATGTAGGTATTGGAGATCCACTTTTAGTCAGTTAAGTCATTCATCCCATTTGTAAGTCCCTTAATAATACCTAATCCCTTAGTCAGGGATACAATTACTGTTTCAAAATCGAAAAAGTCCCTTATAGGTATAAGGGACTCTTCGTTCGAACTACTGACAGCTAGAACATAGAATTAGGTTGGTACTTATATTAAATATAATCGACTGTCTCGATGGCCGAGTGGTTGCAAGTGCGACTGCCGGACAAGGGGTCTCGGGTTGTGCCCGGTATATAGCAACAGGCTCACCCCCTATTACATGGGACTTGATGGACTCATGAAATAAATAGTGAAAAGTGGGTGTTACATTGTGCAGTGGCTATAAATGCCGTAATGTGGACCTCTGCCTACTCCTTCGGGGATAAAAGGCGTGATGTTATGTTATGTACTACAGAAATTATTCTAACAACTTTTATAATCATAGCCCCAATAAACTGTTTTAAATTCTAATACTATACTAATAATATAAATACTAAACTTCATTACTTACCAAATTCACCATATTCAAGCTGTTTGCTTAAAATTAGCTATACAACCTTTTTCAATACTCAAAAAACGACAAAAAGTGCCATTAAAAATTTCAGGTAATAAAAACATACGTCATTGGTGAATTTGGCGATTAAAAATAATTATTTTATTATAGATGTTTTGAATTTACGATTTGTTGCGCAAAGCTATTTGATTAGTTATTAGAATAGAACGATTTATATTTTGTTTTTGTTAATAGTAGAACCAATGGCGAGTGATGAGTGAATACTACAAAGAGCAGCATCCATTATTATGTGAGGAGATCTCGGATGAGGAGTACTACAGTCCTCGATACCACCGAAATATACGTAACTCCAATTACAGAGGACGCCCCAGACACAGCCTGAACGGAGCTGCTTCAATCATAACCCGGTGGCCAGGTACGAAAATACTACTTATTATAATATTCTTGTGTTAAAAAAAATATTCCTATTGACAAATTAATAAAGTGCATGTTTTTCATCTCTTTCCAGACCATTGGTCGTCTTTTCTCGCATACTGGTGGATAGGTCTCGGAATGATTAGTCTTACAACTTTTATAATTTACAATAGTCTGTTTGCGTTTTCCATGATACCGACTGCTAACACGAAACCTTCTAGTCTTATATTAGGCAAAAGTATTGAAAAATCAGCCAGAAGCACCTCCTCCTTATTGCCTGATGTGTTCATGCATGTTTTTGTCAAACATAATGAAGAAATAAACTTAAATCAATACGTTCCTTACATAGAAGAACTTGCAAGTAAATACCCGAATCTAAAATATCATTTGGTTGTCGTGGTTAATGATACCAACCTAAGTTGGTTGAGTGCCGAAGAAAATAACGAATTAGCACTTAACTCGCTATGGAAGAAGGAACAGAAAAAAGAGCCTTCCAAAGCTAATGTTGCCATTGAATACGTTACAATGACATCCTATATGCAAAATTCGCCTTTAAGAAAACACTGGAAGACGTTACCCAATCAACTCATTGAATTTTTAGCTCGCTCTGTGTCAATCTGGGAGAAAGGAGGAATAGCTTTCAATCCTGTTATTTTGACTCCTAAGTCTCAGCGTTTTATTTATTCTGAAAAAATTAATAAGTTACTTAATAAATATTCAGACCGTAGTAACGTTCCCCGTGATATAAAAAATAATAATAAACCACGGAAAACTATAAAGAAAGAAAGAAAATTAAATAACATACGTGACATAATACACGCCTTGGAAAATGACGACGAATCCGTGAATGCGTTTTCTGAACAAACTTTAACAGAGGCTGAAAACATCAAATCTCAAGTTGTAACAAAAAACGACCATTACATAAATGGTGAAATAGACACTACAATTAAAAATGAGTCGGAAAAAGCCAGTAAAACGCTCAACGTCTATGAAAATTATCCCCATAAAAATTCATTCCGTATTGACGATGACACTAAAGAACCAAAACATCGTATTGGAATGAATAATAGTACTGAATCAACTGTATCTGTAGGTGCTAGTCAGAATACCACAAAGTTGAGTCTATTACCTTTATTTTTAGAGTTTATATTTCATAATAAACTTAATACTAAACCTAGCTCAACAGAAACAACAACATTAAACAGGACGCGCAAAAGTGTAATAGAGATACCTAAATCTGGAGATATTAAAAGTTCATTGTCAGCACATTCTTTGGATAAAATGGATAAAAAAATGGATGATACCTACAAGCCAGTCATCGTATCAGCAGCAGAAATTTATAATAAATCTGAGTTTATGAAGCCTTTCGTGGGACCTCCTGGCACTAAACTAGATGAAATTTTAGAGCAAAGTCGTCTTACAATCGATTTGAAGGGAAACATTATAGCAACTGATATACCGTGCCATGCATTTTTAGGCACAATATTTAGCAATGCTGCACATCATAGCCAAGAAGAAAGTGTTACTGACTTTATAATTGCTGAACTAACACTATTTTGTAAAGGACTTTTATCTTCGTGTATGGGTATTGATTTGATTTTAATATAATTGTTTTAATTTTAGTGTCTGTTATTTTAGGAATTTGTATTATTAAATAATTGTATTTAATTTTTTTTCATTCTAATTCGTTTATAGTCGGCTGTTGAAGAAAACAATATGATTTGCAAAATAATTTATTTCCTTGCTTGATTCATTTACATTTTAACTTACTAACTAATAAAGTCGTGATCAAAATATCGTCGAAACTTTAATCTCAACATTTTGTTCACAAGTTTCTTATTCTTAATCTTATGGCAGCAAGTATCGTTTGTAAAAAAAATATTTTAATAAAATTAGACTAGATGTTTTGTTAATCATTGAATACAATTTTTAAAGAGTTACAATTTAGAGTATCCCAAAAGTTTGTTGTATATTTAATTGTAATGTAGTCAGCGCTTATGCTATAAGGCGGAATTCAGTATTATGACGTACTATGGGATTTGAACATCTTGCTCATTACAATTCATATGAATATCTATCTAATAGGTACTTACTTTACTAATTTAATGTTTGCACGAATTTACAACATGTTATATCACAAAATGATGGGCTTATTATGAAAGAACCTCATTCTAATAATTTTATGACGGCGCTACATTTCTTCGTTCTACGGGTATCTCCCATCGTCCTGACCAGTTATTTTGTGAGCGTTTACAGTCTCTTACACTATCGTCTGGTTCGCATCTTTTACTTATTGACCAATAAACGTAACCTCTCGGACAACGATATACTAAGCCTCTTAATACATTTCTCTTGTCTTTTTTACATTTTAAGAAAGCTGGAGAACATTCACTGTCTTTTTCAAAGGAGAAGTAGCCAACGCCGGGACATGCTTGACTTTCTTTGGTCACCACAATCTGGAAAAGGTAAGAAAAATATTATTTATTTGCGGTTTAATTTGGTAGTCTTATTGTATTTTTTTCTTAATTTAATTACTTTTATTCTTCCAGACGTTTTTCGATTTTGAAAATACGGTAGATGACAAATTTTTGTTTTAATGTCCGTCTGGTAGATTATTTAAAAATATTAGGCACGTATTTTTTTAATTTCTTACGGAAACAAATAGTTTCGAAAATATATTGATTTGAAATATCGCATGACGTCACTTTTGAGTACGATAAATACTCTAAAATGACATAGCCTCCCACTCCTGGATTCGTTTTATCAAAGTATTGTTTTCATATACGACAAAATTAAAAATACGTGTCTAATATCTTTTCATTATCTAACTGACGAACTAGATTTTTAATTTTTATACCCTGTCATCATTCCAATTACCTAAATATGCAGGACTATTGACATTTGTATATTTTAATAATGAATTATTATATTAATGATTTATTTTAACAAGATTTTAATAATACAAATATTGAATGATACTTACAGGTTCTTTATAGTTTTTATCTAATCTTTTAAATCTTCTTTTTTGTGCTATTTCTCCGTCACATTTTTTGTCAGCCTTACTTTCTTCTACGCAACGAGTTTGACTTTCATCGTAGATTGTATTGTTGGGGCATGTAAATACTGCAATCTTTACGTCATGTGTATCATCATCCTCGTCACACTGGTAGAACAAATTGCAATACTTTGGATGTCTTCTAAATGATGTTGGGCATACAAAGAGTGATTGGTCTTCATTGGTCTCTGGGCATTTACTTTCTGTTGTTGAGTTGTTATTTGATTGCTCTGTGGTTGACTGTTCAGTGGTAGACTGTTCTGTGGTAGACTGTTCAGTGGTAGACTGTTCAGTGGTAGACTGTTCTGTGGTAGACTGTTCAGTGGTAGACTGTTCAGTGGTAGACTGTTCAGTGGTAGACTGTTCAGTGGTAGACTGTTCAGTGGTAGACTGTTCAGTGGTTGACTGTTCAGTGGTAGACTGTTCAGTGGTTGACTGTTCTGTAGTCGACTGTTCGGTGGTTGATTGTCCAGTAGTAGACTGCTCTGTGGTAGATTGCTCCGTGGTAGATTGCTGTGTAGTAGATTGTTCTGTGGTAGATTGTTCTGTGGTAGATTGTTCTGTGGTAGATTGTTCCGTGGTTGATTGTTCAGTAGTAGACTGGTCTGTATTAGATTGCTGTGTGGTAGATTGATCTGTAGTTGATTGTTCTGTACTTGTATGTTCTGTGATCAATTGTTCTGTGGTTGTCTGTTCCGTCGTTCCTTCACTCGTCGTTGATTGTTCAGTAGTACTCTGTTGCGATTGTTCTGTAGTTGTAGAAGATTGTGTCTCAGATGTGGTTGATTCTTGAGTTGTCTGCTCGGAAGTGGTTGACTGTTGTGTCGTGGTTTGTTCTGATGTGGTAGATTGTTGCGTGGTTGTTTGTTCAGAGGTGGTAGACTGTTCAGTTGTTGTTTGTGAAGACGATGTACTCTGAGTAGTTTGTTCAGTGGTCTGCTCTGTGGTACTTGATTGCTGTGTTGTCTGTTCTGTAGTCGCTTGTGACGACGTTTGACTAGATGTTGTTTGTTCCGATGTAGATGATTGTTGTGTAGTAGTTTGTTCTGAAGTGGTCGATTGCTCTGTAGTTGTTGACTCTGTAGTACTTGACTGTGTTGTTTGCTCTGTGCTAGATTGAGATGTAGATGTACTTTGAGTCGAAGTACTTTCTTGTGAGCTTGTGGTATCTTGTTGTGTCGTAGTAGTTCCCTCTGTTGCTGGAGGGGGATTTGCACTTTGAGATTCAGAACCACTACAATCACGCGGAGGATACACTGATTCTTCATGATTACAAGTTTCAACTGCTGGATCCCAAATAGTACCTTCACCACATTCGAAATGATATACTGAGAATCGTTTTCCATCTCCGTCCCAATCTACACATCTATAAAATTTCTTACAGTCATTAGGGTTGGCATAGTAACCTGCTTTGTCACAAGTAATATTTTGATTTTGAGGTTTTTTAGAAGAGTTTTCTGGTGCACAATTGGATGAATTTTGAGAGCTTTCTGTTGTACTTTGAGTAGATGATGGTGACGTAGTCGATGTGGTACCACTTGACGAAGAAGAGGAAGAAGAACCTGCTTCAGTGCTTGATGATGAACTAGCGTCTTGCTGTTGATTACAAGAAGGATTGACAACATCCTGTGGATGGTTACAGGTTGTTATATCTTGATCCCATATTGTACCTTCACCACAAGTAAAGTCATACTTTGTATAGCTTCCTTTTCCATTATCTACACATCTATAAAACTTTTTGCAATCCTCAGAATTTCCAAAATAGCCTTCACTGTCACATTTGTCTTTATTAGCTGAAGTTGTATGATCAGACTCAGACGATGGAGTTGTACTTGAAGATGTTGAACTACTAGTTGTCGCACTAGAACTTGTAGAACCAGCTGTCGTTGAACTAGATGAGGTACTAGAAGCTTCAGTAGGGCTATTGTCCTCGTCGTGCATCACAGGTTTTGATGGGCTACCTCCTTGACAAGATTTCACTTGATCTATATGATTACAAGTTTGAATATCAGAATCCCATGCCGTTCCCTCACCACAAGTAAAATCATATTTCGTGTACCCTCCTTGACCGTTATCTACGCATCTGTAAAATTGTCTACAGTCATTTTCATTGCCGTAAAATCCTTCCGATGTACATTGACCACTGCTTGGAGAAGACGGTTTCTCAGAATTAGTATTATCATATTCATCTTCTTGCTTATCAATCGTTTGAGTTTCAGTCGTTGAACTACTCATTTCGTTGTTTTCTGTTGTTTGTTGATTACCTTCCGTTGTTACTGGACGACTTGTAGTCTGCGAGCTACAATTTGTATCACCGGTATCGTGATCGCAAGCTAATATATCTTGAACCCACACTGTACCATCACCGCAAGAAAATTCATATTTTGTATATCCCCCTTTGTCATTGCTGACGCACCTTATAAATTTCTTACAATCATTAGGAACTGCGAAGAATCCCTCAGATGAACATTGAGGACTACTAGAAGGAGATGAAGAAGTTTGAGTCGTTTCAGTCGTGTGCTGAGTTTGCGAAGCTGTTGTCATGGAATTGTCAGTTACAAGAGCTGGCTGGTCAGTAGTTGATGAAGAAATAGCAGGTACGGTAGCATATGAACAATTATTATTACTTGATTCATGGTTGCAGGCTTGTATTTCTTGATCCCAAACTGTTCCCTCTCCACAAGTGAAATCATATTTGGTATATCCTCCTTTCCCATTATCCACGCATCTGTAAAACTTTTTACAGTCATTTCTATCTCCATAAAATCCTTCTGATTCGCACACGTCAGATGAAACTTGAGGTTTCTGGGTTTGAATTTCATTTCTTTCTGTTGTTGTTGAACTGGATATACTGGAAGATTCTGTATAAATCTCATCATGTTCTGGATGATGGGTTTGAGTACCTGAACTGCTTTCGGTACCAACACACGTTTTATCAGATGTAGCATGATCACATGATAGTATTTCTTGGTTCCAGTATGTACCGTCGCCGCAAGTAAATTCATATTTAGTGTAACCACCACGACCGTTATCAACACATCTGTAAAATTTCTTGCAATTATTTTTATTGCCAACAAAACCTTCTTTAGAACATATTTCACTTGTTTCACTTTCTGGGTATGTGTGTGTTGTTGTAGTACTAGTTTTTTCAGTACTTTGAGGATAACCTACTTCTCCAGTTTCTGTAGTTGAAGATATTTGCGTGGAAGACTCAACAGGTTCCTGTACTGTATTGTTACTGGTAGCGCCACAATCTTTGACAGCCGATGCATGATTACACGCTTCTATACTTTGATCCCATAAGGTTCCTTCTCCACAATCAAATTCATAACGGGTATATCCACCATTGCCGTTGTCTACGCAACGATAAAATTTCTTACAGTTGTTTTTGTCTCCCATAAAACCACTGCTTAGACAGTTATTACTGCTACTTGGTACTTTCGAACCCTCTGTTGTTGAATGAGTTGTTGCACTTTGAGTAGTAGTATCCGAATCAGTATCAATGATTGAAGGGTAGCCGTTTTCAATTTCATCACTCATTGTCGGATGCAACTGTGTGCTAGTTTCCTGATGACTAGATGATGAACCACCAGAACCACCACATTTTTCTACTGCCCATGCATGATTACATGCTTCTATTTTTTGATCCCATACTGTACCTTCCCCACAAGAAAATTCGTATTTGATATAGGATCCTTTGCCGTTATCTACGCACCTATAAAATTTCTTACAGTCATTTTGATCTCCAATGAAACCGCTATTTTTGCAATCAGTGCTAGCTGCTGGTACAGATCCTGCTGAAGTCGAAGAACTTATTGTAGAACTAGGGAGTGGTGTAGATGATACTGTGCTCTGGTCACTTTGAGTTGTACTACTTGCAACTACTTCATTTATAGTGGTAGGTTTAGTTTGAGTTGTAGCCTCTTGATGTCCTCCTGCTGATCCTCCACAGTTTTCCACTGCCCAGGCATGATTACACGCTTCTATTTTAGGATCCCATACTGTTCCTTCGCCACATGTAAACTCATAACGTGTAAAACCTCCATTACCGTTATCAACACATCTATAAAACTTTTTACAATCATTATGATCACCCATAAAACCACTATATTGACAAATATTGCCCGTATTGTCTGTATTCTGTGGTTGTTTCGTCGTAGTCGTCGTTGAAGTTGAAGAAGTTGTTAAATCGTTGTTATTTTGACCGTAACCAGTATCATAATCATCATTTTGTGTTGCAGGCAGTTCACTTGATGACTGAGTGACTGCACTACTTATAGTACTGATTGTCGACTGTATATTTTGTTTTTCAGTGGTGGTTTCTGTTTGGCTTACGTCAGGAGATGCACTGCCACCACATCGTTTTACAGCCCATGCGTGATTACATGCCTCCAAATCTGGA